CGATTACAATCACGATTGCAACCACGATTACAAACACGACCACTGATCCCTTTTGGAATCCTCATGATAATTGCTTCAAACATCCTCTCGCGTGTAGGGTAGCCCACAATGGATTCTTCCCTGGGAGGACGAGCCCACCAACATTACCCAGCCCGCCGAACAGTGGAGGGAACTCATCTCGGGCGCGACGATGACGGCTAGGATAACGACCACGAGGAGGAAGACAGGGAGGACGAGGAGGAGGAGGAGCAGGAGAAGGAGCAGGAGGAAGAGGAGGTCGGGAGGAATAGGAGGAGGAGGAGGCGGAGCAGGATGAGGAGGGGCGAGTCTGTTCCCCGCCGAGAGAGAGGAGGGGGCTGAAATCTAAAGACCTCTCTCGGTTACCCGTTTGTTCCCCCAGGGCTCAGGGTAGGAGAAGGTGCCCATGGCGCTGCTCGTCCTGGAGAGCTCTCGTCGCCACGGCTTGGAGTCGCTTCGAAAATCTGCCCAGAGCGCACCTTGGTAGAGATCTGTAGCTCGGCTGCGGAATCCGTACCATACCTTCGCCGATCAGCGATTCAGGCAAGTCGGTGGGCAGCGGGGGCAGGGTTTGGAATTTGTCGAACACGTGGCCAACCTTACATCCTACCCCCGCCGCCCTCCCAACGATTCAAGAGAATCGATGGTTGTTGGGGTAGGCTTCGGACGTCGCATGTCGCCACGTGTTCGAAGAATTCCGAGCCCTCCCCCTGCCGCCGTTCGAGTTGCCTGAGTCATTGATCGGCGAGGGTGGGTATGGCAGGCCGATCCTTGATCTCGCGGCCCTCCTCGATCCTGGAACCCTCCTCCTCTCCTTGATCCTCCAGTGGCCTACTAGCCCGCGGTATCGGTGGCCCTCCGCCTCCCCAGGACCGGTAGAGCGACGGGATCGCTAGGGGGGGGGAGGCTTGATCTCGCGGGCTTCCTCCTCAAGCCTCGCAGCCTCCCCCTCCTCCTCGATCCTCCAGTAGCCTTGTGGAAGTCGACTAATGGAGAGGAAGCAGGCTGCCAAATACTTTCCAGATGTCTAACGCATGCTCCAAGAATGTTTTCAGCTATGTGCAAACATGTTTGATTCCCTACCTAGGCTCTGCCTAGAAGGGTTCTTACTCTCTTAGCTTAAAGGGGCCGGGCAGTGGAAAACGCCCCTGGCGGTTCCCCCGGCATCCGCCCCGCGGTTCCCCCAGTTGCGCCCCCTGGGCTCACCCAGCTTAGCTAAGCTTAGTTAGCTAAGCTTAGCTCAGCTCAGCTCAGGTTAGTTTAGTTTAGCTTATCTCAGCTTAGCTGAGCTTAGCTTAGCTTTGCCTAGCCTAGCCGAGCCTAGCTTAGCTTCGCCTAGCTTAGCTCAGCTTATCTAATATTAGCTTAGCTTAGCTTAGCATAGCTTAGCTTAGCTTGGTTTAGCTTAGCTTAGCCTAGCCTAGCTTAGCTTAGCTTAGCCTAGCATAGCTTAGCTTATCTTAGCTTAGCGCAGCGCAGCATAGCTCAGCGCAGCATTAGCACAGCATAGCATAGCATAGCATAGCTCAGCATAGCATAGCATCGTATAGCATAGCTCAGCATAGCGAAGGCATAGCATAGCATAGCATAGCTGTGTGTCTGTGCGCAGGCAAAGCAACAACAACATCAAGCAAAAGCAAGCACAACAGCAAAGCAAACGCACCAGCAAAATCAACAGCCATATCAAAGGCAAAGGCAAAATCACAGGCAAGAGCAACAGCAAAGGCAATGCTAAGCAAAAGCAAAACCAATGCGGAATTGTATATGTAGATGTAGATGTAGGTGTAGGTGTAGATGTGGATGTAGGTGTAGATGTAGATGTAGATGTAGGTGTAGATGTAGATGTAGGTGTGTATGTAGATGTAGATGTGAGTCTCGCTGTTGATGCTGATGTAGATGTAGATGCAGGTGTATATTTAATGTAGCTGTCGGTATAGATGTAGATGCTGCTTTCCTAAATGTTCCAACTCCTAGGTAGGGTCGCACCGGGATAATTGTTGTGTTTAAACATTTGTGTAGCATGTCTTGCACACTCTGAACACATTGCTAATTCAATGGTAGGATTGTTAGGGTGCCCATTGTCATGGCATCCACAACAGCAGCCTGTCAGCCCGCGGCATCGGTGGCCCTCCGCCCACCCAGGACCGGCAGTGCGGCGGGCGGGCCGCACGGCGCCTGAGACCGCGCAGGCCGCGGGAGCGCCGGGCAGGCCGCGCCGCGTGTTTTCTGTTGGGCCTCGGCCGTCGGCGGCCGCGAGTGCGCCCGGGCGAGCCTCGGCGCAGGCTGCGAGTCAAGCAGGGGCGAAGCGTCCTGGCTCGCCTATAGTCAGAGCGTGAATTACCTACCCCGCTTTCGCTTCCAGGCAAAACCAAGTCATACCATGCGCCGCCTCGTCAAGCGGCCTGACCAGTACAGTCCGTAGTTTGGCATCGCTTGGCATCTCTTGGAAGCGATGGTGGTCAAAAGCGAGGTAGGTTTGTTTGCCCCCTATATAGGCCCACCAAACGATGTTCTAAGATCCCGTTTGGCGGTTTGCACGAAAGGTGCTCAGAGCATGTCTGGCTGAGTCTGTCTTGTTTCAGCGCATCGGGCTTATGTCCTAGGAACATTGTTTTGGTTCTGAGAGCATTTCTGGGCTCTAAGGGTTCTAAGAACATCTCGTGGAAGGGCTATAGAAATGCCGGGACGGTCGATCCCTGCTCAAGCCAGGCCTCCCCAAGGGATCGGGGAGACGAAGGACTCGAGTACAGTTCACCTAGTCCATTTCACTGTTCGCAAAGTGACTACTGGCAAACGTCCGAAAAAAAACACATCGCAGATCCCCCGCGGCGGATCCAGACCATCTGCGAGCAGTCACTTTTTGCTAGAAGTGGAACGCGCTCGTCTACCAGTGGAGGCCCATGCCAAGAAGCACCATGCTTGCCTCCAGGGTTCTCTGGGTTTCTCGAGTTTTGATGGTTCTGCTGTGGGAGGCGTGGCGTTGCCCACGCCAGAAATCGATGGACGTCCTCGGGTCTCAGGGTTGGGTTTATTGTGATAGGTTTCTTGCGGTTGGGCCTCCACTGCACGCCGGAACCTTGGTTTGCCGACGCTTTCTGACGAGCCCGTCCTGGACTTTCACGGTCCGGTTTTCGCGGGATACTTGCAGCGGGAGTTCGCGCCAAATTTCAGATTTGGTCTCGTTATTCTCATGCTGGCCGCGTCATGCCAACCCGAGTCCCACGCGCCCGAGTCTTACGTCTCCCCGAATGGAGTCGAGTCAGAGCCATCGTGCCACCGTCAGGAGCGCACAGCAAGGAACGGAGGGGCCTTGCTGGCCACGGCGGGCCTCTCCAAGAAGGACAGACTGCACAGAAATAAATTTTTGGCGCTCCGCGCGGGTTTCTTGGATCGGCGCTGCCCCCCCCCCCCCTGGCGGCGCCTCCAGCGCCGCCCCTGGCGCGCTCCGCGCGCCAGGGAGGGGGTCGAGCTCGGATCCAAGAGATCCGCGCGGACCTCCAGAGGTTTCCGTTCCTTTTCCGCCCCTTGTCTCGGCATCGCTCGGACGTGTGCAGCTTTTTTTCCTCGGCGGGGACCATGGGGGAGCATCCCGCATGACTCCGCGAAACAGGCACGCACGAAGTCGAACAAGGCACGAGGAACGGACGTCCGAGCGATGGCAAGCTGTCGGACCCCCTCGTCGTGCTGCCGTCAGGGGCGCGAAGAAGGAGCGAAGAAGGGCCTCCCTGGCCACGGCGGGCCTCGGCCACGAGCCGGCTCCGCGGCGCGGAGAGGCTGAGGAGCGGCCCGGCCACCCGGCCAGCCTGGAGCATCTCCCCATCCCTGTGCTGGGCATCTCCTCCTCACGGTGCCAGTCTTAGGGACTCCCTTGTTTTTTGGAGGGCGCGTCCCTGAGATTGTCATCGCCTTTTCTGGCGTGTCAATCTTAGGGATGGGGATAAGTTCGAGGCTGGTAACTCCAGGGCCCAGGGCTGTCCTCCTGTCAGCGTCGTGACTGGAGTCAGGAGGGGAACACACACGGACACAGTGAATCGTCTATTCCCCCGGAGAATATGGGAAACTATGGGAAGTGGGGGGGGGACGGCGAAAACCCAGAACATATGGAAAAACATGGGGAATCCTGTTATCTGTGTCTACTTATTTGTGTGTCCCAGCCAGGGCCCCTTCATGTAGATGGGGTCGGTGGATCGCGCCGCGTCGCCGATGCATCGGTGCTCCAGCTCGATGTGGAGCCCGATGTTTCTCCACGCAGGCGTCGACGATGCATCTGCAATGCGGTGCGATCCTCCGACCCCATCTGTACTCGGAGCCCATGTGGGGAGCCTCCGAGGTTGCCCTGCTGCCTCGCGGGGCGCAGGACTCGAGGAAGTTTGTCGCGCGCCGCGGGCTGGGTCGGGAGGCTTTGCAGCGGCTCGCAGGCACCACGGCCGCACACGTCTGCCAGTGGCGGCGAGGAGGGCATGGAGTGGCACGAAGTGGCATCAGCACTCCATGAATCGCCGGGTGCAGCCTGCGCTTCTCTGGAGCTCCTGACTTTGGCATGGTGGGGCCCCGGGGTGCTGATGGCATAACCTGGTGAAGCGGTGACGTGGCTCTTGGTCCAGACGCGGAGTACCCTCGTCTACGAGGACCGAAGAAGACACAGTTGCACAAACATAAGCTTTTTGGAGGTCCGCGCTGACTTCTTTGATCTGTGCTGGGCCCGCCCCTGGCGGCGCCTCCAGCGCCGCCGCTGGCGCCTTCCGCGCGCCAGGGAGGGGGGGCCAGCGCCGATCCAGGACATCCGCGCGGACCTCCGAGAAATATCACGTATTCGGAGGTTGGTAGACCTCCTACCCTGACACGTCGATTAGTGTTTTCGGTTCGCGAGGGGGTGTCGAGGCCGTTATTTTTGCTGGTCCAGGTCCGTCCGTTTCGGTCTTTGGCCGTTTTCACTAAAAGGGTGGTTTCTTAAAGGGAGGTTTGTCCATTGCCGACGTATGTTTGTGGTGTCTTTGCTTCTCTCCCTCCAGCGAGGAGGCTGTCGTTCCGCAGGCCCTGGAAGCTGGGGCGGCGCGTGCCCGGGAGAGTGTTCTTCGGCAGCCGTCAAAAAACGCACAATGGGGGCGATAAATGGGTTGGGTCTGCGGGGGTTGCAGACAAAGGGGCTCTTTCGGGTCCTACACAGGGGCCCTTTCGGGCCCAACAGTTGTCGTGGTTGGTGCTGTTGTTGCTGTTGTGTTTTAGTTTGTGGTTGTGGTTGTGGTTGTGTTTGTTGTTGGTGGTGGTGTTGTTGATATAGTTGCTGCTGTTGTTGTTGTTGCTGTTGTGTTTGTTTTTTTGGTGTGGTTGTTATTAGTGCTGCTGTTGTTGTCGTTGTTGTTAAACATTATTACTTCTAAAGAATAATTATTGTTGGGACCCCTGGTGCGCGGCCCCCCCGCCGCGCCTAGGCCGCAGCTACATTTTCATCATTTTCGTGAGGAAGCCTCAGGCAAAACGATGTGTACCAGATCCGGTTGTTTTGTTGTCCCCCGCTTTCCCTTGCAAAACATAAGCTAAAGTGGACATTACTTGTTCTAACATAACCAAACTTCAAGAATCCCTTGCAAAAAAATTAGGTAAAGTGGACATTCGCGCGCGCAAGACGAAATCCTTCCAAAACCTTAGTTTTCGTAGCGATTTTAACATAAAAACATCAAAAAAACAATGGTTTTTCCCAAACAAAAAATGTCAAAATGTCATCCCGCGCGCTCTTGCGGATTCGTAGGAAACCCAACACTTTTTAATCATTTCTGTCAAACGGGCTTGTGCGAGCAACTTTTTCGAACTTCTGCAACAACGGTTGCGCACCTGCCAGGGCCATCATCCCTGTCAAATAATACCATGCGGGACACATTCGTTTTTTCTTCGCGCGCGCACGCCGTCGTCGTCGGCCGCGGGGCCCTGAATAGTAGCCACGGTCGTCCGCATGCCACGAAGTGAAGTGTCCGAACGTCATAGGGCGGGAAGCTGGGTGTGGGTGGTGGCGAAGAGTCGTTTGGAAATTTGGTAGAGCTTGAACCGGCCCCCCCACAAAGTGGGGGTATTGCCCGCCTCCTATGAAAACCCTGGCACTGGTGAGAACGGAGTGTCCCCACGTGCTAGTAATTGTTGTTGTTGTTGAACATTATTTCTTCTAAAGAATAATTATTGTTGGGGCCCCTGGTGCATGGCCCCCCCGCCGCGCCTAGGCCGCAGCCACATTTTCATCATTTTCGTGAGGAAGTCTCAGGCAAAACGGGGGGGTCCGGATCCGGTTGTTTTGTTCCCCCCCGCTTTCCCTTGCAAAAAACAATATAAAATGACATTTCTTGTTCTAACATAACCAACATTTCAAGAATCCCTTGCAAAAAAATTAGGTAAAGTGGACATTCGCGCGCGCAAGACGAAATCCTTCCAAAACCTTAGTTTTCGTAGCGATTTTAACATAAAAACATAAAAAAAAACATAAAAAAGCAAAAAAAAAACTTGTCAACATTTCATCCCGCGCGCTCTTGCGGATTCGTAGGAAACCCAACACTTTTTTAAACATTTCTGTCAAACGGGCTTTTGCGAGCAACTTTTTCGAACTTCTGCAACAACGGTTGCGCACCTGCCAGGGCCATCATCCCTGTCAAATAATACCATGCGGGACACATTCGTTTTTTCTTCGCGCGCGCACGCCGTCGTCGTCGGCCGCGGGGCCCTGAATAGTAGCCACGGTCGTCCGCATGCCACGAAGTGAAGTGTCCGAACGTCATAGGGCGGGAAGCTGGGTGTGGGTGGTGGCGAAGAGTCGTTTGGAAATTTGGTAGAGCTTGAACCGGCCCCCCCACAAAGTGGGGGTATTGCCCGCCTCCTATGAAAACCCTGGCACTGGTGAGAACGGTGTGTCCCCACGTGCTAGTAATTGTTGTTGTTGTTGTTGTTGTTGTTGTTGTTGTTGTTGTTGTTGTAGTTGTTGTTGTTGTTGTTGTTGTTGTTGTGTTCGTTGTTGTTGCTGTTGTGGTTGTTGTTAACGTTGGTGGTGTCGGTGTTGTTAATGGCGTTGTTGCTGGTGTTGTTGGTGATAGTGGTGTAATCGCTGTTGTTGTGGTTATGGTTGTGGTTTCGGCTGTGGTTGGTGTTGTTGTTGTTTTTGTTGTTGTTGTGGTTGTCGTTGCGGCTGTGATTGTGGTTGTGGTTGTTGTTTGTGTTGTTCTGCCTGTGGTTGGTGTGGTTGTTGTTGGTTGTGTTTGTTGTTGTGGATGTGGTTGCGGTTGTTGTTGTTGTTGTTGCTGATGCTGGCTTTATTGGTTGTGTTGTTGCTGCTGCTGTTGTTGATGTTGGTGTTCTGAATGTTATTGTGGTTGTTGCTGCTGTTGTTATTGCTGCTGTTGTGGAAGAATAAAGTATTGTTGATCCCCCCTCCGGTGACCATAGCAGCCTTCGTGGCCCCCTCGCTGCCCTCAAGGTCCCGTTGCAGCCCTTCGTGGCCCCCTCGCTGCCCTTCGTGGCCCCGCTGCAGTCCTTCATGGCCCCGTTGCAGCCCTGCGTGGCCTCGTTGCCCCGTTGCAGCCCTTCGTGACCCCCTCGCTGCCTTTCGTGACCCGGTTGCATCCCTTCGTGGCCCCCTCGCTGCCCTTTGTGACCGCAGCCCTTCGTGGCCGTTTTGCTGCCGTTCGTGGCCCCGTTGCAACCCTTCGTGGCCTCATACGCATGCCCTTCGTGGCCCCGTAGCAGCCCACTATACGTATGCCCTTCGTGGCCGCCCTTCGTGGCCCCATACGCTTGCCCTTCGTGGCCCTGCTGTCGCCCTTCGTGGCCCCCTCGCTGCCCTCCTTGCATGGCCCCGTTGCTACCTTCAGTGGCCCCGTCATTGCCCTCTGTGGCCTCGCATTATCTGTCATTCACTGCCCCCGCTCGTTCGCGCCCTTCGTGGCCCCATACGCATGCCCTTCGTGGCTCCGCTGTCGCCCTTCGTGGCCCACTTGCTGCCCTTCGTGGCCCCATCACTGCCCTTCGTGGCCCCGCTGCCGCTTCGAGCAGATAAGAGCGAACAGTCTTAAATTGAGTGCTGTGGTTGTTGTTGTTGTTGGTGGTGGTGTTGTCGTTGGTGTTGTTGTTGGTGTTATTGTTGGTGGTGTTGGTGTTGTCGTTGGTGGTTCTGTGTTTGTTGTTGTTGTTGCTGTTGTTGTTGCTGTTGCTGTTGCTGTTGCTGTTGTTGTTGTTGTTGTTGCTGTTGTTGCTGCTGTTGTTGGTGTTGTTGTTGTTGTTGTTGTTGTTGTTGTGGTTGTGGTTGTGGTTGTGGTTGTGGTTGTGGTTGTGGTTGTGGTTGTGGTTGTGTTGTTGTTGGTGGTGTTGGTGTTGTTGTTGTTGTTGCTGTTGTTGTTCTGGTTGTTGTGGTTGCTGTGGTTGTTGTTGTTGTTGTCGTCGTTGTGGTCGTTGTGCTTGTTGATGCTGTTGTTGTTGTCGTTGCTGCTGCTGTTGTTGTTGTTGTTGTTGTCGTCCCCTCACTCTTATGCGCAACTGCGGGGTGCTGCGCATCGCTGCAGGCCAGGTGACCCACGCGGCGTGCAAAACCACCAGGGTCGCCGTCGCCCCGCCCGAGCCGGAGGGCCCTCGGGGCGCCGACTCCCCGGCGGGCGGCGGGCGGCGGTGCCGCTGCGCCACCCGCCGGGAGGGGGCCCCACCACCAGGAGGGGCAAACAAGGCACAGATACAGTCGGGGCCCTGAAGAAGGAACCCTTTTTGGTTGGGAAGGGGCTCCGCGTTCCTTCAGTGTTCCACAGCTTGTCTCGGGTTTTCCTTGGGTTTTCGATGGGAAATCGAAGGCTAACTTATGGGAGAAAGGGGCCTCGTTCCTTATTTAGGGTTCCTTAGGTCAACGCCTCGACTGTACAGACAACCATCGATTTCCGCCAAAAGCTATGGGGGGCTGTCGGAGATGGAGAGGAACACGAGAACCCACGGAATATAGGGGTGAATCCTCGAGTTTGGGTCCGTCTGCTTGTGCCTCCCTGGGCCCCTTCGCACCAGGAGATCCCAGGCGAGCCCCACGGGGCCGCGTCGCCATCTGCATGCCTGCCGTGAGAATGGATTCCCGTCGGCGTGGCCGGCTCGAGATTGAATCTCGGATGGATCTCTCAAGCTCTCCGCCGCATCTGGCGGCGTGCGTTGCGAGCAGGAACGCAGCAAAGCCTCAGGAAAGCGCGGCATTGACAGTGTAGCTCCGCACACGTGACACGTGTCAACGAGCAAGAACACAGCAAAGCCCCTGCACGGATGCTCGAGCTGGACGAGGGGGGGATAGGGAAAGGGGGGGGGTACGAAATTTGCTGCTTGCAGCTGGTTTCGGCTCCACCAAGGGGCCCATTTCTCGATACATGGCCGCCTCCCGGCGCCGGGAGGCGCCGGGAGAATCAGCTATGCGAGCTGATTCTCAAACCCACCCCCTTTGCTATCCTTTCCTTTCGCCCGGCCCGAAAGAACACAGCGAAGCCCCGGCGCGGATGCGCCGCGGCACGAGCTCGTCGCAGCCATCTTGGCGCGAGCTGTGCGGCTCCTGCTGCCGAGGCCCCCCCCCCGTTCGGGGCGGCAGGGCGGCGGCGCGCACCAGGGATCACCGGAGGCAGAAGTACCGCTACCCAGCAGCCATGATGGGCCCGCTTTCCACCACCTCTACTCACCGAGCGCGTTCCACTACTCGCAAGGTGCCTACTCGCAAACCTCCGATAAACAGATGAGTGTTTCGACGTCATGTATCGTATGTTCCCCGCGGCGGATCCAGGCCATTTGCGAGTTGTTACTTTGCGAGTAGTGGGACGCGCTCGTCTAACCATTAGTTGGAAGGGGAGAGGAGGTGGAGGAGGAGGAGGAGGAGGACCCCTCCCCCTCCTACGTATGGTGGTGACGGTGGAATACAAGCCCACCAAGCCAGGGCGGTGGCTGTCCCACCCTCTCGAGCTGATGGCACCTCGTTCCGGGCATGCCTCCAGAGAGTTCTGGAAGGAGGTGCCACCAGCTCGAGGGGAGGGAACGGCCACCCCCATAGCTGGTGGCAGTTGTGCTTTTGTCTCTCCTGAAGGGGGGTGGCGCGAGGGGGGTGGTCTTCGGTAGCAACTCACGAGAGCCTGGTATACTCTCGCTTCTCCGTCTTGAGAATGCACTGGCGTCGATGGGCTCCTGGTAGTCGATGAGATAGCGCCGACTTAGCGTCGACGATCGTCGATTCAGCCTCGGTTAGCGTCGCTTCAGCGTCGATTGGCGTCGATCAGCGTCGACGCGCAAGAGCCAACATGATGGTATGGCAGGCCCCCATGAGTTGCCACCGAAGGTGGTCGTCTAAGGAGGCAGAAGTGCCTCTCACGAGGGCTCGGGGGCCTCTACGAGGGCTTCTGGGAACCCCGCGCGCCCCTCTGAGATGCGCCCTGCCGCTTTGAGAATCGGCGTCACCCCAATATTATGATTCTATGTGTTGGCCGCCCCCCTCCCACAGGGGCGCCGCGCGCGCGCCGAGAAATCTTATAGGATCAGCTTCGTGGCGGGCGCGGTCTGGCCACACCACTCCGGAAACGATGCGCTACAAGATGCCCAGGTCGGACGCACGCCTCCAAGGAGGGCGCACGGTACTAGCATGCCCCTCTGCGTCCCATGAGGTGCGCCGTCCCGTTCTGAGAAGGCCCACCCCCCCTGACGTCCCTATAGGGCCAGCTTCTCCTCCTGGTGGTCGTCTTCTGACGGTCCCGGGGGGCCCGGCGAGGGCCCCCACAGGCCGAGGACGGCCCAAATGCGGCCGCTCCAAATGTTTGTCTTGGCGCGGAGGGGGGTGGGGGGCGGCGGGAAGGCTTCTTGGAAGCACCCCTGCTTCTTTGAAGGCGCGGGCCTTGTCTGTAGACGTAAGGCCGGCGCCGTCTAGGAAGCAGCCTCATTCTAAGAAGCCCTCCCCCCTCCCCCTACCCGTAAGACGGGCGTGTCCCTCTACAGGAGGAGTATCCAATAATAAGCGACACATCGTCTGGTGACGATTTTTTGATTGTTGTTTGACTGTGTTGGGGTACTTCTTGGATATTTTCAAGTTTTCGCCCAGAATCCGCCCGTAGGGGGACATGCCCGACCTCCCCCTGCCCCCTCCCCGCCAGATGTTTGTCGGAGCGTCGGATCGCTGGCCCCCGCCCCCCGCGCCACGCCCCTCGCGCGCGCCGCCGAGCAGAGAGCGCGCCGCGCGCCCCTTCGGCCGCCGCTCGTCGTGGGGGGGGGGCGCATGCAGGCCGCCCCGGGCAGCCGGGCGGCGCTGAGGCGCCTGCTGGGCAGCTGCCCCGCCCTGCACAGGTCGGGCGCCGGGCCTCGGAGGAGGAAGCGGGGCTCGGAGGAGGAGGAGGTGCCCGTGCCGCGGAGGAGGAGGAGGAGGAGGAGGAGGAGGAAGCGGGGCTCGGAGGAGGAGGAGGAGGAGGAGGAAGCGGGGCTCGGAGGAGGGGCTCGGAGGAGGAGGAGGAAGCGGGGCTCGGAGGAGGAGGAGGAGGAGGGGGAGGGGCCCTTGCCTCGTTTTCCCCTTCTTCTTGGGCCTCCCGGGAGGCTCGCGTCGCCACCGCTGGGTTCGCCTCGACGTCCTGGTCAGAACGCACCTTGGAGGAAGGTCTGGGTCTGCTTGGGGAGGTATATCCGAGTGTTCTTCGTGTTTGCTGGATGCTCTTGCGCATCCTGGGGAGAGGTATCCTTGGATGTTTTGCGTGCTCTGGGCGGCAGAGGGTCTCATGTGCTTGGAGGATGTTCTGCTGGCCTACGTAGGTCCGACTGCACCTGCCCAGGAAAGAGGAGAAATGGGCCGGGCCTCAGTGAAACGAAGCTGGGCCTCGGGGGAGAAAGGGGGCCCCAGCTGCCCCGCACTGCACAGGACAGTCCGGGCCGCATACCGCCGTCTTTCCCTCGTTTCCGCCTGGGCGGCTCTCCTCGCCACCGCCGGATTCGCTTCGAACTGCTGGTCAGAGCGCACCCTGGGAGAGGTCCCGAGAGCCGAGAGTAGCGGTATCGGCACCTTTCGATTTCCCCAGTCGTTCTCCCAGATCCCCAGGGGCTCTGGGAAGTTGAGCCTCCTCTACATTCCGCGGCCCCTTTGTCCTCCTTCGGCTCTTGCCCGCCGGACAATTAGCTTAGTAGTGTCTCTGCTTTGCTCTTTCGCTAGTGCGTATTGCCTCTGCGTCGCCGCCGACGGAAAATGTTACACACCGAGGCCAGTCGAAAAAACCCTGGCCGGGCGTTTCGCCTGAGACAACCGCCCCCCGTGCCCCCGTCCTCCTTTCCTCCTTTCCTCATCCTTTCCTCATCCTTTCCTCATCCTTTCATCCTTTCTTTCTTCTCCTCCTCTTCGGCTCTGACTTCGTCATTGTACCATTCCCACCCTCTGCTTCTGCTTCACTAGAAGCATCACGCATCATAGTCTTCTGCGGGATGCATTGCGTTGACATTGTCGGTCACGTGGCAGAGGCCATAGCACAGTTTTTGACGCAACCGCGCCCGATACACCTTGAGGGCAACTTTGTATCAGTCGCTGGCTGGCTTCCACCTGCTTCGCGCCTCCCCGTCCTTCCCCCTCCCTCTTCCCCTCCTACCCCCCCACCCACTCTACTGGCGGCGGAGTGCTCCGTTGTGCCAGGCGGCCAGGGTTCGTCTCTGTCCTCAGAGCCCAGAGCTGTGGGCTACAGTGTTGGCCCGATGCGGCCACTGCCCCCTGCGGGGGTCGATCGAGCTTGAAGATCTGTAGCACAAATGGCGAACCCGACAGGCAGACGCCCCCCCCCCCAGGGGAGGGGCATCTGGGTTCCCCTGCAGAGCCCTGGGGGTTGGGCAGAAGTGGAAGGCACACGAGATGGCTCCTGGGGCAGGGAGGGGGAAAAGGGAAGGGGCGAGCGACGGCGTGCAAGCGTTGAAAAGTGCGGCGATCTGCTGTGGCAGCCGCAGGAGTGGAAAGAAGCAGTGGGGGTGGCGCAAATGGCCTGGCCTCTCACCTGCCTTTGGGGCATCCCACGGTCACTGCCCCCAGTCCCACCCACGCCCGCCGAGGGAGGCGAAGGGCTCCCAGGGAGAACTGGGGGGCAGCGTAGGGGAGGTTTGCGCCCTCCCGTGGCGGTGGCCACGGAGGGCGTTGATTCCTCCACCTCGCCCGTATACATCCCCCCCGCTAGTCGGGGGCTGCCGCGTGGGCAGAGGTGGTAGACGAGCGCAACTCGTGAGGAAGTGGTGGCAGCAAGGCGAGGTTCGGTGGCCAGCCAGGGCTGGTGGAGGTGAGGAACACGTCAGCGACTCGAGACCGTATCGGCCACGCTGCAACAGCCGCCGCCCTGGCCAACGCCAGGACGAGAGGGACGGCGGCCGGAAGCAGCGCGGGTCGAGTGGCGCAGGCGGTGCGAGTGCGGCTGCAGCCGCACTTCGCCGAGGCGGACGGCGCAGGGGCCTCCGCCCGCCCTCGCGAGGGGGCACTCCGCGGGGAAGGGCCCCCGTCCCCTCCAAGGAGCCCTCACGCCGTCGAGGCAGGCAGTGAGTTCCAATGGGGGGACTGGGGCCTATCCAAAGGTGCTCAGTGGGGAGGAGGAGGTCTGCGCCATCCGCGGCGGTGGCCGCGGTTGTCGTCCTTCCTCCGAACTCGGTCCACGTTTTCCCCGTCCTCAAGGAGTTGGCGGTGAGAGCGGCGAGAGTTAGCGGTGAGAAAGGCAAGAGGCAACGCGGCTGTAAGCGTTCTGCTGAGTTTGGGCAGGGAATTACGCGAGACGGTTGGAGTGCGAGGTGTTGCGATTGTTCCTCTACGTAGGTTGTGGCGGCATTGGTGTTGCAAGGGCCGTTGCCTGTTGGCGTGGTCGTTTCTTGTGGCCGCGGCTGGTCTGGTCTTCACCGGGAGGGCCGCCGGTGATGCCTCCTCCACGTCCGCACCCGTGTCAGATTGCCTGCCAATCCTGCCTCACAGGAGTGGAGAAGGTGTGGGTTTGGTGGGGTGAGGTTGGCGAACCATGGAAGAAGTGGGCAGCCAGTGGGGAGTGGGAGGTTTGGCGAGAGCTCTCAGTGGCCCATCTGATGGTGGGTCCTTCGTGTCGCATGCCTCGGAGGCCCCACGACAGAGGGATCAAGGTGACACCAAATAGGCGCGTGAGAGGGCTCCATCAGTTGGCGATGATGTGATGGTTGTTGTGCACTGTGGTGTGCTTGGGGATACTTCGCGCGCTTTCTGTTGGCGCAGTAGAACTCGAGCGTTCGCAAGCTGTCCACGGAGGCACCTGTGCAGGGCGGGGCTGTGCGACCTGGCTGCCGTTGTTGACGTGGCCCCCCAAGCAGGGGAGGAGAACTACCGTATTGTTTGTGGATGTTGTGGTGTTCTATCGCAGGCCTGATGGGTCCGTGAAAGCCACGGTGGCCGCCGCCTCGGCCACCCTGCGGGGCAAATGGGGGCGGGATCGGGCGATCGCGGTGTCTTTTTCTTTCTCTTCCTCCTCTTCTTTCTCCTCCTCCTCCTCCTCCTCCCTCCTCCTCCTCCTCTCTCCAGTCCAAATTTGGAACTGTCGAAGGCGGAGCGCCACGGTTCGAGTTTGCTGGTCTTCCAGCCTTCCTTCTCTCCCTCTCTTTCTCTCCCTCTCCCTCCCTCCCTCCTCCCAGTGACCGTCTGCCTCCGCAGGGCCGCCCTCGAGCCCCAGGAGCGTCGGGGGCAGAGCTCGGCGGAAGCGCCGGCCCCGCCCAGCGGGGGCCGAGAGGTCCGGGGCCCCGCCGACGCGAGAGAGCACGGGGTCGGCGGCGGTCTGGGCCCCCCGCCCCCCCCCCCCCCCTCCGCCTCGGGCTCGGGCGCCGGGCGCTCCTCCTCGGGGCTCCGGAGGTCGGGGGCCCCCCGGCGGTGTGGTGACCACAGCGTGTGGTGCGCCGGTGGGGGGTCGGGGTCGCCGCACGGTTCAGGGGCTCGGGTCTCTCTTGCCGAGGACGTCTCGGGCGACAGGGCAGGGGCCTCCAGGGTCCCAAGACAGTGCGGCGACGGACCGTGCGGTGAGGTCTTGGGGGAATTTCGAGGTCACCGCACGGTCTGCCACCGCACCGTTTCGGGACTCCAGAAAGAGACGGGGGTCAGTGCAAGCGGGGGTCAGTCAGAGCGCCGGGTCGTGCAGGATCCTGCAGGGCCAGGGGCGCATTGACCTGGGCTTGGGTGCAGGATCCTGCAGGATCTGGCAGGACCTTGCAGGATCCTGCAATGCCTGACTGACCCGGGTTTGCATTGACCCGGGTCAGTGGGTCCCCGACCTCCGCTGTGGACGCCGATCTCCAGGACCGAGGGGCGGTTGACCTGGACGTCGATGGCCAAGCAACGATGACGGCCTCGTCGGGGCCCCCTTGGGAAGGCTCCTCTGGGGCTCTCTCCATCTGGGCCCGTCGAAGGCTGCGTGGGCCGTCCTGGGGCCGTCAGGGGCGTCCTGGACCGACTGTGCGGCGACTCGGGGCCCTCTCTTCTGGGCCCTCTTGGAGGCCTCTTCCGCGGGTCTCTTCCGCTGCCGCCCGAACGCCCGGGACATCGGCCCCCGCAGCGGCACGGCGGGGCCTCGGGTCCTCCCTCCCTCCGCCTCCCTGCATCCTCCTCCGCCTCCCCGCCGCCGCTGCCGCCCTCCTCCTCCGCCCGCTCCTGCTGCCAGACTGGCCACCATCGGGGGATCCGTGGATGTTCGACGCGACTGGGTGGAGGAGCAGGACGAGGAGGAGGTGGAGGAGGAGGGAGGAAGAGGAGGAAGGAGGAGGAGGAGGAGGGAGGAGGAGGAGGAAGGAGGAGAAGGAGGACCCCCAGCGTGGGGTACAACAAAGGAGCTCAGCTATCCCGGCTGCGCGTGGTCTCGGGGCGCAGAGGGGACGTTGCAGCACAGAGGGGACGTTGCCGCAACATTGATGCTTGGGGGTCCGCGGTTGGACTTCTTTGGGCAGGCGGTGGGCCCCCGACGCTCGAAGCGCGGCAGGGGCGGCACCTGAGGCACAGACAGGGGGGGGCAGCGCGGGCCCGAGAAATCCGCGCGCACCTCCGGAGCCTACACACGTTTATGCAGCTGTCAGCTCCTCAATCTAACCAGTCTCGACCTCATCCATATCCCTAAGTTAGACGAGCCCAAGGCGAGGACAGTCTCAGGGACGTGCCCTTAGAAACTGGGAGAGTCTTTTCAGATGGGCACCGACATATGAAGATGCCAATCATCTTAGGGTCAGGGATCTGTTTCAGGTTGGCAGTTGCCGTCGAAAAAGAAACTGCCAACAGACATCACCTCGCGGAGGCCCGAGCGAATATTATGGCGGTGCCTCTGGCGCCGCCCTCGGCGCGCTCCGCCAGCCAGGGAAGGGGTTCCAGCGCCGACCCGAGAATTCCGCACCAACCTCCGGCAATTGATGTTTGTGCTTTCTTCAGCCTGATAATGCGACCACACGTTCAAGAGGTGCCCCAGGGGGCGCAGCGCCCCATTGGCAAGGGGAAACTTGAAATACGCTCCCGATTCGTCGTCATCGTCGTCGTCCCTACCATCGAGGCCGCTTGGCCGCAGCCAGCGACCAAGATGATAAAAAACTACTGTTGTAAACGTTCCTGCACGATTTGTTGTGTAGTCGTTCGGTCGCACGAACTGCCAGGCTCCGAGGAGGAGGAGGAGGAGAATGAGGAGGGCAGAGAGGAAAAGGGGGAAAATGAGGTACGTGGCTTATAATTCTCGTACTTCGCACATGATTCAAGATTTGTTTGTTGAGCACGGCCACGTCCCTATTCATCACAAGGATTGCCTGCCGTTCTCGACGAGGCATGGCGAGAACGGCAATTTACATCGCCGACAAGGCGCTGGCAAGGGCTTACCGCAACCGTTGTTTGTTGCGGGGGGGAAGGAGTCAAATATTTCGAGAAGCAGCGCTGGGCGGAGGGCATCGTGCATGCAAGATTCGGTTGTCGTTGCGGATGGGAGGACATTCTCAGTAACGCCTTGGGAACAGAGTGGCGTTTAAGACGCGACAAGTGCGACCCATATGAGTTTTGGAATAAGCATTTTGACGATTTCCGAGCTGTGGTGTGTACGCAGTGGCAGCTACAAAACCGTGGCTAGCGGGCAGAGAACATCCGCGCAGACACCCCGGCCGGCGTCAACAAACGCAGAAAGCTTCTTCATCACAGTTTGGACGGATGCCCGGATCAACATGGAGACGACCCTCCCACCATCGAGTTTGATCGTTCACGCAGTGGTTTCGTCATCGTGGTGGACGGTAAACCTCTAGCAGAGGTGGTATGCGGGCACGCGTCGTTGAATACACCCAGGCTCATGCCGGTGTTTGAAAAGAATATCGGCCAGATTTTCAATTTGATTGATGTTTGATGATCTCCGTCTGGCGTCTGAGGCAGGGGATCCCATCTGATGGCGCCGACGCGAGAGCAATCGCATCCCTGATGGTCTTGTGAATCGCGCTATTGAGTTAGGCACCGGCTGGCTGAAAGACGTCGCGCCAACCTTGGAAGATTCTAGTGTGTTCGGTGCCAATGTTATCATTCATTCGGATGGGGGGACACGCGCAGGATCCTGCTCAGCTGGAGCCTGCTTCGTCGAAGCGGTGGTCTGGCGCGACGGCCGCCGCCACATTTTCCAGATCGCTGTGAGTGGTACGTGCATTCATCCGCCCCTTTACCTTTCGCTGCGAAAGCGATGGCCTTTCAGGACGCAGTGTGTTCGATATCCCAGTTGATACTTCAGATTTCCGCGGTAAAGCGCGGCAGAGTTCAGCGCACATTTTAACAAATAATTCTTGTTCAGTGGCTTGTCACGGCGTGGCTCGAGGCGTCCGAAAGAAAGAAGAAGAGGAGAAGGAGGAGGAGCAGGAGGAGGAGGACGAGGAGAAGGAGGAGGAGGAGGGGAAAGGGAGGAGGAGGAGGAGGAAGAGGGGGGGAGGAGGAGGAGGAGGAGGAGGAGGAGGAGGAGGAGGAGGAGGAGGAGGGGGAAGGGGAGAGGGAGAAGGAGGAGGAGGAGGCGGAGCCCCCCCTCCCCCCCGGAGAGGCACTTCGTGGGCGTCCCGCTGTCCGCGGGGGCGATCCCCCACGCGCCTCTAACGGGGCAGGTCCGGCACGCGGGGAGGCGCCGCCTCCTCCTCTCTCTTGCTCCTTCCTCGTGTTCTTGCCTTGTCTTGCTCCCTTCTTTCCACCCCCAGCCATCCGACGTCTCGAACAATTCTTCACGCGTCGCATGTCCCTACCAGGCCATTCTGAACCCTGCCCAAGAGAGGTGACAAGACAGGGGACGAAGAAGCACACGCATTGAAAGAAAGCTGGATACCAGAGTGAACAGAGGGATATGTCGGAGCAAGGGGGTGGCCTTGGAGGTTCTCTTCGGGTCATCTCTGGGGCCCGCGTGGGGGCGAGGGAGGAGGAGGAGGAGGACCATGGTAAGCCCAAAACGCATCGACGATGTTGGAATACACCCTCCATCCAAGCTCCCACTTCAGACCCCCCTGCAAGGATTCATTTCCACTGAAGACAGTGCCCCGTTGGGAGACAACCGTTTGAAGATCTGGAAGCGTGTCAAAACACCTTTCTCATGACTACGCCACGAGTCAACCTGACTGTTGCATTATGACTACCCTGAACTGTGCTAGAACACCATTCCGGGGACTGCAACACCGCGAATAAGCGCACCTGTTGCGCCGTGACAGTCCTGTGTCGTTCCAATACACCCTTTCTGGTACTTGCACCATTGGAATCAGTGGAACTCTTGCGAATGCTTGGATCGAGTGCGCACGGCGCTAAAGCGAGAACCACATTTTGAAAAGGATCCGCCTTTAATCCGTGAAACGCGTGCTTTGTTTGAAAGATTGCGCGCGGCGTTAAGGCACGAGCCACATTTACAACCACCTGTCCTCAATCCGTGAAAAGCTTGCAATGATTTGAAACGAATGTGCGCGGCGCCGAGGCGAGAGCCACATTGTCAAAAACACCCGCCCTCCATCTGCGAACATGTTGCCAGGGAGAGCGACAGAAAGCAGTTATTCATAAGGAAAACGAGTGGAGGAAGACGGCGAAGAAGAGGAGCAGGAGAAGGGAGACGTTGAGGGCAAGGACGAGGACGAGGATGAGAAGGAAGAGCAAGAGGAGGAGGAAAACGGGAACGAGGACATAACCTTCGAGATCGTCTCTTGGAGCCCTCTTGGGGCTTTTTGGGGAGAATCTTGGGGTCCTCGTGGGGTTGTTTTTAAAGATCTTGCGCCCTCTTGGGGCCCACTTGGGGCTCTCTTGGGGCCCCCTTTGAGCCCTGGAGAGCATTTCGGAGGCCATCGATCAGATCGGGGGGAGTTCCCGATTGGGGACCGGGACATCTGGGGGCCATCTTGAGGCTTCAAAAACGCATCGGAAGCGAAAAGCCGAGAGGGCGACATTATAGTTTTTGTTTCCCAGGTGTTGTTGATGAGTTTGCCCTCGGGGGGGGGTCTTGGGGGTCTCCGACAGCATTAGGAATCGTCTTGGAGCGGTATTGAGGGCCTCATGGAGCATGGTTGCAGCAATATTGAGTCATCTTCGGTTATCTTCAGCCATCTTGGAGGCCACGTTGGAGCATCCGAGTCCCTCTTGGAGCCATCTTGGGTGAACAAGGACCCTCTGACACATCCCGCCCCCCAACAAAAAACGTCAGGGAGGGGAGGGGCATAGTATCCCTCTCCAACTGGAAGAAGGCTTTGGAAGATAAGCGAAAGACATCGTCAGACCACCTACGCCCTCAGGGCTGGTCGTATTCAAGATGGAGGCTTTTCGTTGCTTTCCTGCCGGACCCCTGGGCCGTCAACAAAATGACCCATGACGATAAACCGGCCCTAGGGAAAGAGTCGGGACTTCCAGAGACAACGCATTGAAAACTCAAGACGTGTGATGTCTGTTCATCTCTTCCCCCCCATCCTTCTTGCCTTCCTCCTTCCTCGCATTTACCTCCTGCTCGTGTTCCTCTCCCCCTCCCCGTCCTCTGTTTTCCCTCTTTCCTTCCCCCTCCTCCCCTCCTGCTTACTCGAGGCGGCGGAAGTCCATCGTCGAGGATGGGGTCGAGGAGCTTTCGCGCACCTCTGCGGTCGTGGTGCCACCCCGCACGAGCGAGGAGGAGGCCGAGTCCGGCTTCGCGCTGCCCGAGGTGCCCGCAGAGATCTTGGATGCTTGGGAGAAGGATGAGATGGCGCAGGAGGCGTTGGGTATGTTCTCGTCGGAGGAGTTTCAGGGCAAGGGGGTGATGTCCCACAGGGACGTGGCTCGCATGCTGGAGCTGATGGGATGTGATAGGCTCACGTTCTTGCGCATGCTGAACGACGAGGGCGACGACGATGATGACGAGGGTGCCGACGAAAGCGGCAAAGGAAAGGGCAGACAGGGTAGGAAGGGAGACTTGCTCGCTGACGACGAGCCTTGGGCTCCCAGAGGAGGAGGGAAAGGAGGAAAGAAGGGTGTCAAGGGCTTAGATGATAGGATGGACTCAGACGACAGCGACGACGAGCCTGAATTTGGCAAAGGGGGTGGCAAGAAGGGCTACAAGGGCTCAAAAGGCAAGTCTAGCGGCTTCCAGAGGCGAGGAGACGACAGCGATGACGAGCTTGACTTCGACAGACGAGGCGGCAAGAATGGCCACAAGGGCTCAAAAGGCAAGTCTGGCGGCTTCCAGAGGCGAGACGACAGCGACGACGAGCTTGACTTCGACAGAGGAGGCGGCAAGAAGGGCTACAAGGGCTCAAAAGGCAAGTCTGGCGGCTTCCGGGACGACAGCGACGACGAGGACTTCGCGTTCCCGCGGGGCAAGGGGAAGGGCGGCAAAGGAGGCGGCAAGGGCAAGGGCAAGGGCGGATTCGGCAAGGGCGGCTTCGGCGGTTTCTGACACCCTCTGGAGCTCCAGAGGACGGCGAGGACGGTAGAAGAAGAGGTAGCACTTGCATACGCATTATTCATTTCATTTGGCTTACAGGCATGCAGCATGCGAATTGTCTTTCGGTATCATACGTTTCTGCATTGAAAGAAAGGGCGACGCAAACAGTCATCGTCAACAACATCGCGTAATTATCAGCAGCGATTTCGAGAGAGGCAACGCGATCATCATGCGAACGAATGTATGCTCACGTTCGAGCGCACCTATCCACAGTCAACGTATTGAATTTCTAGGGCAACCCTGAGACCGCACAGAATGCACAATCATGAACTCGCTTGAAATATGAAGCCACCAAAACTGATCCGTACAGACCCACCTGGCCAGTGTTTTCACACATGAATTGGGCGACACAGTCTAATACTTTGTTGACTTGTCGCGTCTTGGCACCAGCACGTCCAGACACGATCATCAGGCGAGTAATCGTCAGACATGAAGGGGAAGCAGTCAGTAGTACCGAATCTTGGGTCTGGGCCTACTTACAATATTACTGAAGACACGCAGTGCTTACGTCACGGTGCGGTGGCGGACCCCTAAGAGTTTTGGTTCAAGGTAAAGCAGGTGAGTCATTTGGGGAGCTTTTTCAGCCGCTGTCGCTTGTGTGAGCCCTTGGCCATGCCGACCTTGGCTGCGGTGGAAGGTGGAGGCACCACCTTTGTGGCAGCAATCGGAACTGCCGACCCGCTCACCATCCTCGATCGAGCGGAGTTTCCCACAAAGCCCAACCCGGCGGAAACTTTGCATGAGGTGGCGAAGTGGCTCTCCACACGCAAGTACGACGCCCTGGGTGTGGCTTGCTTCGGACCGGTTGACTTGGACGTTGCGAGCGCGACATGGGGCCATATCACCACCACGCCCAAGGAGGGCTGGCAGAACACAGACGTCATGGGCCCACTGCTCGCGTTGCGGAGAGTGCCATGCTTGTTTGATACCGACGTCAATGCTCCCGCCCTCGAGGAGTTCAGGCACTACGCTGCGGGGGGCCAGAGCTCTTGTGCCTACGTCACGGTGGGCACTGGGGTTGGCATCGGGCTGGTCGTGAACGGCAAGATGGTGAAGGGCCTGGTGCATCCAGAGGGAGGCCACATCCCCGCGCTCAAGCGGCCCAACGATACCTTCCAAGGCCTCGGCGTGCATCCATGGTCTATTGAGGGCCAAGTTTGCGCCGCGGCCATAGCAGCGCGCGCCGGCGTCCCCGCGGACAAGCTGAAGGAGATCCCCGACGACAGCGAGGTCTGGCTCGACGTCGCGTACGTGTTGGGCTCCATGTGCGCGACCCTCACACTATTATGCTCCATCGAGCGCATCGTCCTGAGCGGCGGCGTCATGCTGAGGGCGTCGCTCTTCCCCAAGATCAGACAGGCCACGCGCAGCATCCTCAACGGCTACGTCCAGCATCCGAGGGTGCTGGCCGACGGCCCAGAGGGCATCGATTCGTACATAGTGCCTTCGGAGCGGGGCAACGAAGCAGGCATTTTCGGGGCCCTGGCTTTGGCGGACGCAGCCCTGAAGCGGAGCCAGGATGGAGAGAGCGACGATCACGCGTCTATCGGAAGCATCGCTGCTCTCATGAAGTCCTGCACCAGCCGATAGGCCATGCGTTCCCGCGCCCGCGCTGGAAATGAGGGTGCGCCTGCTTGCGTGCAAGCCTAGCAGCTTACCTGGTGGGCCCACTCCTTCTCCACTCTTCCGCTCGCTCGTTTTTCTCTTCGGCCACGAGCGGGGCGGGTGCTCTGGTCGCTCCGACATCGGCAGTTCGAGCTGGACGCCAGCGGCCACGCCCGAGAGGGACCTCGAGGGCGGCGAAGCGGGTGCTCCGTGAGCGGAGCAGCGCGAGAGCGGGCAGAAAATACAGGGTCGCATCCATCCGCCCGCCCGTTATCCTCGAGCCGAGGCGTGGGAACGGGCACACCTGGGCTCGTTTCGATCCCTCCAGCTCGATTCGACTTCGATGGCCTCCGACTCTGGCTCGATCCGACCTCTGCTTCCCATCTGGATTCCGATTTCTCAACGGAGCCTGTATTGGCCTGCCGATGCCGCCGGTTCGACTTCTCCCAACGTGGCTGCAGATTTCCGCCGGTCCGACTCATTTCGATCGCCGATCCGATTGGTCGTTTCGATCCTCAGCTCCCCTGCGTACACAGCCCGTCGGAGGTCCGTGCCATAGTTGTTTGGGTTGGCGCCAGACCCGCCCTTCCTGCCACCGCTGGCGGCGCCTCTGGCGCTGGCGCCGCCCCCGTCGAGCGCCGACCCAAGTAATCGGCGCGGATCCCTGATCTTGTGCTCATGTGTTTTTGTTTGCTCTCGGGGGGAAGGGAGCAACCACTACCCAAACCCTGAACTCGCGCTTGCTAAGTTGTCCTGCGCCTTGACCGCACAGCTCTGCTCCGTTCGATTCCAACTCCAGTTGCGGGGCCTCGGTTGTTGGGGTGTTCATCATCCGGGTGGTTCTGACGCCTCTATTTGCGTACCATTCCGCCCGTCTCGAACACAGCTTGGTCACGTCAGGGTGAGCCAGTATAGCACCTCTTCCCCTCACTTTCTCCACTCGCAGTCCTTTCTACTCTGTGTGCGTTTCCGTCCTGGGCAGCCAAGGGCGCTTTGGCGAAGCATGTATTTCTCCTCGCCTCCCCTATCCTCCTTGCAATCGTATCGCTCGTTTGTCCAGGCCAGTCGGGTTGAGGGCGCGACGGCAAGCAGCGACGCTAGACTAAAGTTAACCTATTCCATCATCCCTCCCCCGCTTCACTCCAACAGTCGGATGTTGCAAGGGCTTCTGACATGAGGGCGTCAAGCAGCTCTCCGAAACCTTGGTCTTGAGGCCGCCTGCAGACATGCGCCGCTGTGCGCACGGGGCGATGTATACATGGACATGCTGCAAGCATGGGAATCGTCATCCCAGGGGTACACGTCTTTGGCGGTTAGATCATTTACCTTATGCCACGTCGTAGGACCAGGCGGCCATTTGGTGTAATCAGCATCGGACCTGTGACGTCGTGGTTGTTGCTCTTTCTGCTTTTGCTGGTGCGCTCACGCTCCAACAATATCGCCCTTCCAGGGAACCTTCCGAGACCATCGTTGCAGTCTGTAGTCTGTCTGTAGTCCGTTCGTAAATCAGGCTGCGTTGCGCACTAAGGCTGTACAGCAATTCCGTACAAAGGCGCGGTTCCAGCGTTGCATGATCATTGCGGTGCCTCGTGGGGTGCCCCGTGGGGGCTTTGTTGGAGATCCTGTTGGGCCTCTCGGAAGCTTCTGGGGGTCCGTCTGGGACTCCTTTGGGCCACTCTGGACCGCCTTGGAGGGGGCGTCGGGGCAGCCTGCATCCTCCTCGTCCCTGTATTCCTCCCTCCGCTCCCCTCCTCCGTGTTCCACCGTGGCTGTATTCCCTCCTTCCTCCTTCATCTTCTTACCCCCTCCTCCCATTGTGTTGCTGGACTTCGGCTGTGTTTTGTTTTTCGTTTTGGCAGGGAGGTACAGGAAAACAGGTAGAGCAAAACGAACAATACAACGAAACCAAAACGAAAAACAACGTTTTGCTCCAGCCCTGCTTTGGACTTCTGGCTCAAGGCACCTTGCCATCCGCGAACTGCCTGGTACACGACGGTCGACAGCCTGTCTGCGCAATGGCCAGGCGAGGGCGGAGAGCCGTATGCAGCGAAGTCCCCCCCTGCTCTCGCTGACCTCCCTCACTCTCTGCCTCCCCTCCTCGAAGAAGAATCAGTTGCATAAACAACTTCGGAGCTCCGCGCAGATCTCTTGGGATCTGCGCTGGGATCCCCTGGCGGCGCCTGCGGCGCCGCCCCTGGGTCGCTCCGCGCGCCAGGGAGGGGTGCCCAGCGCCGATCCAAGAAATCCGCGCTGAGTTCCGAATGTTTCTGTTTATGCAGGTTTGTTGTGCCCCTATCCTCTGCCTCGCCTCGAGAGGGGCGAGGAGGGGCAGAAGAACTTCGCAGTTTCGGCTCTCGGCCTTGCAGGCTGCTTCTTGCCGCCGCGGAGATTGCTGCCGTGGCTGGTCTGAATGTCCACGATGCGCCCTCCAGCGACGCTCTATCGCGCACAGGCGTCGCTACAGTGCTTGACCCGGAGCCTCTTGGGGTGGAGTCCAAATTGGGACTTGAGGGGCAGGACATGGATTGAGGGTTAGGGGGAGGGGGGAGACGAAGGGTCAGGGAGGATCCGCAGAGGGGCACCCATTCTCCACGCCACCGTGCTTGCTCAGTGCCATCTTGGGCCCGAGGATGACGTACGGCAGGTTTCGCGCCACGTTGACGTGGCGGCGAACCGAGCGCGGGTGTCAAGGTGAAACGCCGCCAGTGGCCCAGAATCGGCCGAGATCGAAGGATCTGCGCCATCGAAAAGCCGCGTTCGTTCAAGGCTGAGCGATCCACGCGGAGCCAGAGGCCCACGCCCCAGTCGTCACGACGCGAACCTTGCTGCATGCACCACGTCACCGCGCCTGGACAGGCCTCTCCTGTACCCCTGGGTGGCGTTTTCCCTCTCGTGTCGTGTGTTGTTTGGTGTGTGTGCAACGTTTGGAGCTACAGTCCCTCTTACACACCACCCATCGGTTGCACTTTACAGTGTGGGACGTCTCGTGCACTGTGCCTCCAACAATGCTCGATCGCAATCGCGCTTGAAGACCCTCTGCGCCGATGACTTACATGTGTGTGTATGTCTGTCTTGCGCCTTCCAGGCGGTGCGATTGCACCTCGTTTCATGTCGCAATTTCCACGCGCATTAGCTTCGGCCCTCTTGTTTCTTGCACGCGGCAGCCACGTCGGCGTGCCCGCTAGCGCCCCCGGCTCCTTGCGCGAGCGCCCCGGCGTTGCCCGCACCGGCTTCATTTTTCTGTGCCATTTGTCGAGCCAGATCGAACTGCCAGGGTCCCGACCCCCGAAACCAGGCGGCAAAGCCCAGGCATGCTACGTCTTGTTTTTTTCAATGCGGTGCCCTTGGAAGTCCCGACCTTTTCCTTTGGGCCAGCGTTTCATCCCGGGCTGCTCTTTGACGGTCTGGGGGCACGGCAAGGGCCCCCAAAGGGTCCGAAAACGGCCACACATTTTGCCACAACGCGAACATGTCTGGGTCGGGGATTGCTCAAAGGGCCCCTGGCACAAGGTGCCCCCCAGCTTTGCGCTGAATTTTTGGGAGCCCCTGGGGCCCGCTTGGCCTCGTGAGGAGCGCTCTGGATGCGGGTGGGGGCCCCCTTGGAAGTCTTGGGGGAACGTTCGCCCAGGCGCTCCCAGATGCCCCGAGATGCCCCCAGACGGCCCAAGAATCTCTATGAGCGCTCCCTAGATTGGCGCAAGAGGCAAAAACCATTGATATTCCACAGGTTTTCCTGTGTTTTCGAAGGTCTCAACATTTCGAGCTATCGGCGCTTAACAGGCCCCCGAGACCGCCCAGAAACTACGAAACGGCCCAAGAGGGCCCAAAGAGGGCCGTAAGACTGCCCAAGAAAACCCCAAGACGGCCCTGGAGGCGCCCAACACGCCCCCAATCAGCTCCGAGAGCCTAAAGAGGGCCCAAATTCCATACAAATTTAATACAAATCACTTCTTCGTCAAGGACGGCGGTGTGTTACATGTGGTATCAATTGTTAGAGTTTTGGAGCCTTCCTGGGAGCTCCCTTGGCGCCCCTTTGGGCCGTCCCAGGCTATCCTCAACAGCTCTCGTGGGGGCCTGTGGGAGTTTCAGGAGAGCCCCAGGAGGTTTGCGGAGGCCTTGGAGGCCCGACAGATCTCCAGAGTCCGGAGACCCCAGAAAAGCAAAACACGCCCCAGAACGTGCAATCGTCCGTTCACGTCCACAGACGACGACGACCACCACCACCACCACCACCACCACCACCACCACCACGACCACTACGACGACCACCGCGACGATCATCGCGACGGCGGCGGCGGCGGCGGCTGCGGCGGCGGCGCCCGCGGGGGCGGCGGCGGTGGCGACGGCCTGGCGGCCCAGAGCTTCTGGGGCCCTCTTCGGCCACCGTGGCAGTCACGGCATTTGCGCAGTTTGGGAAATCTTTTGGACTGTCCGACGCGTCGCACGTCGATCATCGCACGGCTCCGCGACCGCCCACCGAGCCCTAAGCCCCCCCAGAAGGCCCAGCACCTCCACGCAAGGGCGGCCCTTGCCTGGGGAACCTTTCCCTGGATACTTGTGGGCTTTGTGGATCAGCGCAAGGTTTATTGGCAACTGCGCGGTTCTAGTGTGTATATGTATACACATGTAAATAAAATGGAGAGCGGGGCTCGGTGGTTCCGAGAAGCCTTGGTTTGAGTACCCGGCTTCTGGCTCCTTCCCTGGGCGGCTCTTGGCCCTCATGGGGACGCGCGGCAGGCTTTCACATTGCTCCCAGGCGGCTCGAGGTCGCCGAAATGTCGCTCCAAAACGCTCAACATGGCCTCAAGATGGCCCAGGAGGTCCCCAAGACGCCCCACAAGAGGCCCCAAAGAGGATTCCCAAGAGGGCCTCAACAGGCAAATATTGTCCCATTCTTAGTGGAAAACGTATGCTTTTCCCAACCATCATCCTGTGGTGTTGGGCCCTCGTTTTGAAGACACGGTCCCCGCGTTCCTCTCCTCTCCTCTTCCTCCCCCTCCTCCCTCCCTCCCTCTTGGCACACACTTCACACGCTTCGTGGCCCCATATGGAGCTCCACCTGAAGTCCCAGTGGCGCAGTCCGCATGGCGGCGCCCCCGATTTTGGGACACGCCTCACACGCTCCGTGGCCCCATAGGGAGCTCCACCTCAGGTCGCAGTGGCGCAGTCCGCATGGCGCGGTCGCCCCATTTTGGCACACCCCTCACACGTTGTGTGGCCCCATAGGGAGCTCCACCTCGCGTCCAGTCCGCATGGCGGCGCCGCCCGATTTGGACACACCCTCCACACGCTTCGGGGCCCGATCGGGAGCACCACCTGAAGTCCTGGTGGCGCAGTCCGCATGGCGGCGCCGCCCCACCCTGGCACACTCCTCACACGTTGTGTGGCCCCATCGGGAGCTACACCTCGTGTCCTGGTGGCGCAGTCCGCATGGCGGCGCTGCCCCATTTTGGCACCCCCGTAGCGTTCGCTGGGGGTGCCCAGGCCGTCCCGAGCAGCCGCCAGAGGCCGAGGTGAAAGCCTGAAGACCTTCTCCTTCCGGAGCTTATCGGGAGCAGGAAGCCCACCACCACACCTGGGCGGATCCAGGATGAACTCGTGTGCGAGAGCGCCCGCACTGATATCCACCACCATCCCTGACCACCCTCTGCATCCATCCTCAGGTAGTGGTTTCTGGTGGTGGTGGTGGTGGTGGTGGTGGTGGTGGTGGTGGTGGTTGTGATGCGTTCCCTTATCCCTAAATTATGGGGACGAACGCCGACAGCCGATCTTACATTTAAGACAGGCTTCGCTGTCGATGTCACCGCGGACGTTTTCCAGTTGAGATTGAAGAGGTCGCCCGCTCATGAGCGGCCGCTGTCGGTTTTTGATGACGTCTGATGCTGAGTAGTTTGTTTATGTTTCCAGACTTATCTTGGGTGTTTCAATTTCTTTGCATAGCGATGATTTCGATCTTTGGTCCCTTCGTGACAAGGGTGCTTATGGGTCGATTGGTCCGGTTGCGTCGCAGTCGTTTGTGTTCGGTCGGGTCGGTTAGGTCGATTATCGTGCCGTTACCGTGGCGCGGCGCCCTTCTATAGGCAACTCGCGATCTGTCGATTTCAGTCGGTTTCGGTTTCGTCGGTTTGGTCGGTTTTCAGTTTTGTTGTCGCCGTGGACTGCCTTGCTCTGCAGATCACCGCCGCCGCATGGACCAAAGACCATCGGAAGCCTCCGAACACGGCCGAAGTCCGCGGGAGATCGTCAGAAGACCTCCAACGAACACCGAAATCCGTGAGGCGACCTGCAAAGATCCATGAAAACCGTCAGAAGACCGCCGAAGACAGCCTCAGCTCCATGGGTAACCCGAGTAAGCAATCAAGAGCCGCCCCCCTCTTCGGCGAAAGTATAACGCATCGGGCACCCTGGAAGCGTTCCCCTGGCACTTCGTAACCTGCTTTAAATATAGACGAGCTTGCTCGCCGAACACAGACGCAGTCTCGTGTTATGAGTCGTATGCGTATTCTTAGTATCAGACTTACCTTTATTCGTATTCTTCTTATTCTGCGTACCCTTAATCGTATTATTTAGCATTGTCGTATTCTTATGCGGAGCCGTATTATTTTGTTTCTGGCTCGCAGTCTAATGTGTAATATTGTTTCTGTTCCTATTAGCACTCGTATTCTTGTCGGGGTGGTGTAGGGGTTCGAATTATTTTCTGCGCGTTCGCGGTGCTAAGATACCGCTCTGTGCGGGGCGCGGGCGATATCCTCGGATGCACTACCCCACGCTACGGCTGGGAAACACCAATAATTCAGCAGGGTTGGTAACAGGACTCGTATAGGACAAAGACGATGAGGATAATGAGTAAAACGGAGGGAGGGAGAAAGGAAGCAGAGGAGCCCTTCAGGTTTCGATTATTCCTCGTAGTCGTATTCTTATGAGTAGTGTTATTATTATAAGTCGTATTTTCAGTCGTACTGTTCTTCGTATTCTGAGTCACATTCGTGTTCTTAGTCGTAGTTTCGCTTTTATTCGGGTTCGCATTCCGATGTCATTCAACTACGTATTGGTATTCTTATTCGTACTCTCACTAGTATTATTTGTCATTGTCGTAGTATTATGCGTATCCGTAGTAGTATTGTTCTTACATGTATTCGAATTATCATACGTATTATTATGATTGCCGGGATGGTGGATGTGGCCAGAATAATTATTATTCGTGTTCGCATTGTCATTCGTATTCTTATGTATTATCGCATTTTTCTTCGTAGTACTATTCTTGTCACTCTTACAGTTGTTATTATTAGTTGTCTTATTAGTTTTCGTGCTCGCATTATTACTTCTATTATTGTTGGTAGTCGTATTATTATTCCATTATTATATAGTTCCATTATTAGTTATTTTCTTGCGTATTAGTATTATTATGTTTCTTATTCCAATTCCAAATGCGCATACCACCCAAGCCAGGACGCGGGAGTTATCTATTGTCCTTCCATTGGCGCGGTGCTAATTATACCGTTCGGCGAGAACCCCCCCGCAATAATTATTTGATTACGGTGCGGTGCCAATGATAACCCCGGGGGGGTCCTCAATGGCTTCCTGAGGTTATAACAGGGTCCCATGGTGGCATACGTAGCGATCCCCCAGTCCCCCCCCACTTGCCCTCTGCCGACCACCGCCGCGGCAAGGCATCCTGAAGCCGTGCGCGACGAGGCGGCGTTGCCTCGTGCACCTTTATGGGCTAGCCGTCGGCATTCCGAGGGTGTCCTCCGTCCGGCCTTTTGGTGCTCGGCGCCCGCCTTCATGTGTCGACGCCCGCCTCCGTGCGAGGACCCCACACCCTCGCGTCGTGAAAGAGTCACGACGCAGGGCTTTTTGCCGTTTTCGGCCTCTGTAGGCCCTCAGCGGGCCCCAGCGCTGTCAAACAAGGACCCAGGATGCCCTGTGTCTGGGGCCGTGCTCGCATCCTTGCCGAGCCACGCTCGGCCAGACGCCGTGGTCATGTCTGCACTGTGGCATCGAAGCACGGCGTGCAATGATGCAGCAAGTACTGCTGGCCCCGTCAGGAGATGACCAATGCCGCCCTCGAGAAGTTCCACGTCACCACTCCAGGGACCGGCGCGACCGGAATCTGCCCAGCCCGCCCTCGCTTTCTTCGATGTCGAGAAGAACAACACAATCGTTTGGAGCTGCGCGCGGACTTCTTGGATCGGTGCTGGACCCCCTTCCCTGGCGCGCGGAGCGCGCCAGGCGCGGCTCCAGACGCGCCGCCAGGGCGGTCTGGCGCCGATCCAGCAAATCCGCGCGGACCTTCAAAAGCGTATGTTTATCTACTTGTAACTTGAATGATGTTTCCGCTTCCTCGCCCTCATCCCCTCCATCTGAGGCGGGGATTCATCCATAAACACCACCTGGGGGATCGCTCTTCGGGGACCCTGGCAGGCGGTAGATTCGGATGTATCCGGGCCCTGGGGTCAACATATATCCATGTCTACCGCCCGCTGAGGGCCCAGCATGTCGGTTCACCAGGCTGATCCCGTTTGATCCGGCTCAATATTGGGTTTAATTTGGGTGGATTCGGCGTAATGGCCCATTTGGCCCCCCTCGGATGCGCACATGCCTCGGGCCATGATTCGCTAACCCTCTTCCTGGCCCCGATGATTTGCGCCTCCGATTGGGGAGGAGATGTCATATTACTTCAGTCTGGTTCGGAGGTCTGGCAAGGTCATGGGCGCGTCAGGTGGTCAGCCAGCCCTCTTCATTCTTCATGTGGACCAGGCTTCGACCTGATAGCTTGCAGCGTCGGAGGCCTTACAATGAAAGAGCCGCGGCCGCGTGGCAAGACGGGGACCTGGACGACAGGGAGAGAATGGGCGAAGTGTCCTCCTGCTCCCCCCCTGCTTTCTCCCTCTCCAACCTCGACGGAACGCGGCATTCGACGTGACTAATGTTGAAACGGTGCTGGCATGTGTGATGCGGTTTCAGCTTGAGATGCTAGAAACCTGAAAACGGCTTAGAGTCGCGCGGTGTTTGATTCATTCTCAGTTGCGTTGTTCTTCATGGACCACCTAGCCCGTACCTGCGACGCTGGCCAGGCCCTGTCGGTGGGTTCGGGTGAACGCGTTCTCAAGAATGTGGGTGATGCTTGGCAAGGTTGCGCGGGTGGGCCAGTTTGGTCAGATGTCTCTTGGAGATCTTGCTCCTCAGCTGGTGACACTTTCAGGCCAGCCACCGTTCCCCCCCTCGCTGCCCCCCTTTCCCTCCCTCTCCGTCGTCCCTTGTCCCTCCCTCCTGTTCGGGGGGTGATGGCAGACCCACCCCCGATCGCGCCATCCCCACTCCGATCGCCTCATCCCCTCCCCCAGCCCCCTCGCGCACCTCCCAGATCGCGTCATCCCCATCCCTCTGTGCACCCCGTTCTGACGCCAACTGTGCGCCAGAGTAGCGAGAGCACCTGCTCCTTGTCATCCCCTCCCCCAAAGCAATTGGTGCACTACTTGCAACATCCCCCGTGCTGGGACCAGTTCGAGATTCGGTGCGGCGTTCGAGTTGCCCCTCTGATTGCCTGGCCCAAGTCTCGCGTTGAATATAGTTTTTTCCCGATCGTGACAAGTGGGCCATCGCGCCACGGGATGCCTCAGGGGCAACGGCGGTCATCGGGAGGGGTTGCGGGTGAGGGTGCTGCAGACCTTCATGGGGATGGGTGTGGCAAACAGCAGGTAATCTCTAGGGAGTTGTTTTTGTACACCATGCCTGCCCCGGGAGGGTGAAATCTTACCCCGGTGAAATGCCCGCGCCCGCCTTGCCTGGGTGGTGAACAGAAGGCATCCCAGAACAGCTGAATTTCGTTGGTTAGGCCTCACAGCGCAAGCCCCTCTGGCGACTCTTGAGATGTTGTGTTTGGGAAGGAGCGTTTTGATATGCAACAAACTGGAGTATCCACACCCCTTGTCATACAGCGACCCCTTGGAGGGAGCACGCCGTGATCGTGCTGCCCGACAATGCCGACCTGGAGAATCCGGCCGCTGCCGACCTGATTGTTTACGCCACGTTCGGGAAGCTCACCGACGATGCATGCGAAGACCTCCTCATTCGCACTGTCACATTTGAGGGAGCCTCCGTCGGAACAAACATCACAAAGCTTGTATTCAACGTGGGGAGCGATAATTTCAACGACACGGCAGCCCATGAATACACGTACACCTTTACTGACAGTGAAGGCAACTCCCAGGAGGTTACCAACACCGACGCCAGGCACCTCTTCGACAACGTCCCGATGTGCTACATGGGCACTCCACGGGGCGTCATCAGAGAGCCCACGTACAGGACCTACATGCACCGCCAGAGGATCATGCAGGCGGAGTGCAGCCTGAACAGCCTGAGCCGCGGCCACGACATCAAGGTGTACTGGAGCACGGTGTGGCGTGGGTTCAACAGCACCACCAACTCGTCCATCTTCGCCAACGACCTCTCCTTCAGCATCGGGAACGTGGCGAACGCCGGGGGCATCCTCGGCTCGGACGACCACTCGGCGATCTCCGCGGCGATCCCCGGGTGCAACAAGAAGCAGCCGGTCCTCGGACCCTACCAGACCAGGATCGGCGGCGCGCCCAGGGCCCCAGGGGGGACGGCAGAGGGGGCGGGCTTGCTCCGAAGGTTCGGAAGGCCGGAAGCTTCTCCCGGGACCTCTCCGAAGCCCCCGCCGCCCGAGGAGGCCTGCCCCCTCCCGCTCCCGCCCTCGGCACGCCGCCGGCAGGAAGGGGAAGCCAAAGGGGAAGCCCTGGAAGCGCGCGCACCACTTCCGCTGAGCAGCCCCGAGCGGCCTCCCCCCAAGGCGCCGCCGTCGGGCGGCGGCGCTCGCCTCCGGCTGCGCTCTCGTCGTGTTGGGCGGGCGCGGCCGGGCGGTGTTTTTTTGTCGTCGTGCCGCGGCGCCTCGGGCGCGGCCGCTTGGGCCAAGCCACGGGGCACCGGAGGCCCTCTCGAGACAAAAGAGGGGTCGGGTGCGTGCGGCCCGGGGCTCTGCCAAGGGTTGGGCTTCGGTGGGGGGGAGGGAGGGAGGAGTACTGAGCAGCGGCGCGGAGGTGACCACGAGTCGCACGTGGCGGCTGGGGCCCCAGGGCGTGCCCTTCTGCAGGGGGCGCGGCGCGAGGGCGCGAGCATGCGCAAAGGTAGGCGGCATAGTGTTGAGCCGGGGTTCGCGAAGAATATCGCTGGGAGTCCGTTGGGGGCCCGCTGGCGGCGGCGGGGGAGCTCGTGGGGCCGTATTTGCGAAGGCCTTACGGCCGTTGCCGCCGACCCTGAAGATGACGAAAGACAACACGAGGGGGGGGGCAGGAGGAGGAGGAGGAGGAGGAGGAGGCGGAAGGGAGTAGGAGGAGGAAGGGTGAAGGGGGAGGATGAGGAGGCCTTATGGATGTTGGTTGGGATCTCGTGGTTGACCTCTCGGGGGCGTCTGGAAGGCAACTTGAAGCCTCTTGGGGGCCGTTGTGGGGCCTCTTGGGGCCTCTTTTGGGCCTCTTGGGGCTTCCGGAGGCCGTCTTCGGCGCATCTTGGGGGCGTCTTGGCGCCGCTCGGGGGCCTCTTGGGGCCTTTTGGGGGCCTCTTGGGGCTTCCCGGGGGCCTCTTAGGGCGGAAGTCTCGAATTCTCGGTTCCTCGTCCCCCTCTTGGCCGTTTCTTGGGCCCGTCTTGGGGCCCTATTGGGCCGTCTTGGGCGCCTCTTAGGCTGTCCTGGGGCCGTCTTGGGGCCCTCTTGTAGGCCTCTTGGGGCGCTCTTGGGGGCCTCTTGGGGGCCTCTTGGGCCGTCTTGGAGTGTCGGAAAGCCGAAAAGGCGAGAAGGCCAAAATCATTCAAAAACCGATGTAAAATTGACGATTTTGGCGCCTGGGGCCCTCTTGGGTGTGCTCTTGGGGCTCTCTTGGAGCGTCTTGAGGGCCTCTTGGGCCGTCTTCGGGCCGTCTTGGGCGTCTTGGGGCCATCGTTCGTCGAGTCGAGGCCCTCTTGTACCCTTTTGGGGGTGTCTTCTGTCGCTCTTGGCTCGTCTTGAAGCTTTTCTGAGCTCCGGGACCCCCCGGGGAGGATGCGTATCTGGGTGGCGACCCCCCCCGGCGACCCCCCCCGGGGACCCCTCCCGGCGACCCCCCCCGGCGACCCCCCCCTCCACCCCCCCCCCCCCCGGCGGGGAGGGTAGGGAGGGGCTTCGCCACGACTCAACTACGACGTTGCTCAATGTCGCTTTGGCTCGCGCGCTCAAGGAGACGGGGAACGACGAAGACGACGAGGGACAACGGAGACGGAGACGACGAGGACACGACGGAGACGACGAGGACACGACGGAGACGACGACGACGACGACGACGGTGATCCACGCAAGACGACGACACCGGGATGCGTCTTCCACACGCCGACAGGGTCGGCGGATTTGCGATGTCCTGCTGTCTGCCTCGGCCCTCCCTCCCTCCGTCTCGCGCGCCGCCCGCCATCGTCTTGAGCGAGCCAGGCCCTGGGTAGAGGGCCGCTCGCGAGGAGGCCCAGGCGAGACTGGGTCGGAGCGACCTCCTCGCCCGATCCCGGCTGGCCTCCTCTTCTCTTTCTCCTCTTCCCTCTGCCCTTCCTGGGCCGGGGTGGCCCGCCCGCTATCCTCGAGCCGAGGCGTGGGAACGGGCACACCTGGGCTCGTTTCGATTCCTCCCGTTCGATTCGACTTCGATGGCCTCCGATGCTGGCTCGATTCGACCTCTGTCATTTCGATCGCCGATCCGACTGATCGTTTCGGTTCTCAGCTCCCCTGCGTATACAACCCGTCGGAGGTCCGTGCCATAGTTGTTTGGGTTGGCGCCAGACCCCCCCTTCCTGCCACCGCTGGCGGCGCCTCTGGCGCTGGCGCCGCCCCCGTCGAGCGCCGACCCAAGTAATCGGCGCGGATCCCTGATCTTGTACTCATGTGTTGTTGTTTGCTCTCCAGGGAAAGTGAACAACGACCACCCCAACCCTGAACTCGCGCTGGCCAAATTGTCCTGCGCCTTGACCGAACAGATCTGCGCTTTTCGATTCCAACTCCAGTTGCGGGGCCTCGGTTGTGGGGTTGTTCATCATGCGGGTGGTTCTGACGCCTCTACTTGTGTACCCTTTCGCCCGTCTCGAACACAGCTTGGTCACGTCAGGGTGAGCCAGTATTTCAGCACCTCTTCCCCTCACTTTCTCCATTCGCAGTCCTTTCTACTCTGTGTGCGTTTCCGTCCTGGGCAGCCAAGGGCGCTTTGGCGAAGCATGTATTTCTCCTCGCCTCCCCTATCCTCCTTGCAATCGTTTCGCTCGTTTGTCCAGGCCGGTCGGGTTGAGGGCGCATCGGCAAGCAGCGACGCTTGACTAAAGTTAATGTATTCCCTCCTCCCTCCCCTGCTTCACTCCAACAGTCGGATGTTGCAAGGGCTTCTGAAATGAGGGCGTCAAGCAGCACTCCGAAACCTTGGTCTTGAGGCCGCCTGCAGACACGCGCCGCTGTGCGCACGGGGCGATGTATACATGGACATGCTGCAAGCATGAAAATCGTCATCCGGGGGGTACATGTCTTTGGTGGTCATGTCATTTACCCTACGCCACGTCGTTGGACCAGGCGGCCATTTGGTGTAATCAGCATCGGACATGTGACGTCGTGGTTGTTGCTCTTTCTGCTTTTGCTGGTGCGCTCACGCTCCAACAATATCGCCCTCCAAGGGAACCTTTCCGAGACCCTCGTTGCAGTCTGTAGTCAGTCTGTAGTCCGTTCGTACATCAGGCTGCGTTGCGCACTAAGGCTGTACAGCAATTCCGTACAAAGGCGCGGTTCCAGCGTTGCATGATCATTGCGGTGCCTCGTGGGGTGCCCCGTGGGGGCTCTGTTGGAGATCCTCTTGGGCCCCTCGGAAGCTTCTGGGGGTCCGCCTGGGACTCCTTTGGGCCACTCTGGACCGCCTTGGAGGGGGCGTCGGGGCAGTCTGCATCCTCCTCGTCCCTGTATTGCGAAGGCCTTACGGCCGGTGCCGCCGACCCTGAGAACGACGAAGATGAAAACGAGGGGGGGGTGGCAGGGGGGAGGATGAGTGGGAGGTGGAGGAAGGGTAGAGGAGGTGGATGAGGGAGGAGGAGGGGGGAGAAGGATGTGGAGGAGAAGCAAGAGGAGGAGAAGGAGGCAGAGGAAAGCAGGAGAAGGAGAAACAGAGGGGAGGAGGAGGAGGAGGAGGAGGAGGAGGAGGAGGAGGAGGGGAGGAGGAGGAGGAGGAGGAGGGAGGAGGAGGAGCAGAGGAGGAGGAGGAGCAGAGGAGGAAGAGGAGGAGGCCAGAGGCTTTCTTGGGACAGCCTGGGGCTTCTTGAGGCCGTCTTGGGCCGTCCAGGGCTCCTCTGGCGCCGTCTCGAGGCACTCTTGGAGGCCTCCTGGGCCATTTGGGGCTCTCCTGGGCTGTCTTGGGGCAGTTTGAGGGCCCCTTGGGAGCCTCTTGGGGCCTTTTGGAGCTGCTTCGGGGCCTCTTCGGGGCCTCTTGGGGTTGAGAGCTCGAAATGTCCGTTCGGGTCCCCCGTCTGGGCACTCTCCTGGAGCCGTTTTGGGGGTCTCTTGGGCCGTCTTGGACGCGTCTTGGGCCGTCTTGGAGACCTCTTCGGCCGTTAGGAGACCCTCTTGGGGGCCTCTCGGGCCGTCTTGGCGCGTCGGGAAGCGGAAGAGGCAAGAACGCCAACATCTTTCAAACACGTATGGGGAATCCATGAATTTCGCCTCTTGGGGCTCTCGTGGGAAACCTCCTGGAGGCCTCTTGGGGCGCTTTGCAGGACTCTGGGGCCGTCTGGAGGTCGTCAAGGCGTCTGGGACAGATAGTTCGGCGGTTCGGGGTTCTCTTAGATTGTCTGTGGGGCCTCTTAGGGCACTCTTGGCCTGTCTTGGGGGACCTCCTCCCCCGGCGGAGGAGGGATCGAAGGGAAGGGGCTTCCTTTCGACTCAATTACGACGTTGCTCAACTTCGCTTTGGCTGGTGCGCTGAGGAGGTCCGTGGGAAAGGGGGGAGCTTCGACGAGCCCAGGGAACGGGGGGAGGCAGGGAAAGGGGACGACAGAGACGACGACCAACGAATGACGGAGATGACGACTTGAACGGACAAGCCCCTCACACACGCCGACCGACAGGGTCGGCGGATTCCTCCCTCCGCTCCCCTCCTCCGTGTTCCAACGTGGCTATATTCCCTCCCTCCTTCATCTTCTTACCCCCTCCTCCCATTGTGTCGCTTCGGACCAGGGCTGGACCTAATCGCTGTGCTGCTCGACTTCGGCTGTGTTTTGTTTTTCGGCTTGGTAGGGAGGTACAGGAAAGCAGGTAGAGCAAAACGAACAGTACAACGAAACCAAAACGAAAAACAACCTTTAGTTCCAGCCCTGCTTTGGACTTCTGGCTCAAGGCACCTTGCCATCCGCGAACTGCCTGGTACACGACGGTCGACAGCCTGTCTGCGCAATGGCCAGGCGGGGGCGGAGAGCCGTATGCAGCGAAGTCCCCCCCTGCTCTCGCTGACCTCCCTCACTCTCTGCCTCCCCTCCTCGAAAAAGAATCAGTTGCATAAACAACTTCGGAGCTCCGCGCAGATCTCTTGGGATCTGCGCTGGGATCCCCTGGCGGCGCCTGCGGCGCCGCCCCTGGGTCGCTCCGCGCGCCAGGGAGGGGTGCCCAGCGCCGATCCAAGAAATCCGCGCTGAGTTCCGAATGTTTCTGTTTATGCAGGTTTGTTGTGCCCCTATCCTCTGCCTCGCCTCGAGAGGGGCGAGGAGGGGCAGAAGAACTTCGCAGCTTCGGCTCTCGGCCTTGCAGGCTGCTTCTTGCCGCCGCGGAGATTGCTGCCGTGGCTGGTCTGAACGTCCACGATGCGCCCTCCAGCGACGCTCTATCGCGCACAGGCGTCGCTACAGTGCTTGACCCGGAGCCTCTTGGGGTGGAGTCCAAATTGGGACTTGAGGGGCAGGACATGGATTGAGGGTTAGGGGGAGGGGGGAGACGAAGGGTCAGGGAGGATCCGCAGAGGGGCACCCATTCTCCACGCCACCGTGCTTGCTCAGTGCCATCTTGGGCCCGAGGATGACGTACGGCAGGTTTCGCGCCACGTTGACGTGGCGGCGAACCGAGCGCGGGTGTAAAGGTGAAACGCCGCCAGTGGCCCAGAATCGGCCGAGATCGAAGGATCTGCGCCATCGAAAAGCCGCGTTCGTTCAAGGCTGAGCGATCCACGCGGAGCCAGAAGCCAACGCCCCAGTCGTCACGACGCGAACCTTGCTGCATGCACCACGTCACCGCGCCTGGACAGGCCTCTCCTGTACCCCTGGGTGGCGTTTTCCCTCTCGTGTCGTGTGTTGTTTGGTGTGTGTGCAACGTTTGGAGCTACAGTCCCTCTTTTACACACCACCCATCGGTTGCACTTTACAGTGTGGGACGTCTCGTGCACTGTGCCTCCGACAATGCTCGATCGCAATCGCGCTTGAAGACCCTCTGCGCCGATGACTTACATGTGTGTGTGTGTGTATGTCTGTCTTGCGCCTTCCAGGCGGTGCGATTGCACCTCGTTTCATGTCGCAATTTCCACGCGCACTAGCTTCGGCCCTCTTGTTTCTTGCACGCGGCAGCCACGTCGGCGTGCCCGCTAGCGCCCCCGGCTCCTTGCGCGAGCGCCCCGGCGTTGCCCGCACCGGCTTCATTTTTCTGTGCCATTTGTCGAGCCAGATCGAACTGCCAGGGTCCCGACCCCCGAAACCAGGCGGCAAAGCCCAGGCATGCTACGTCTTGTTGTTTTCAATGCGGTGCCCTTGGAAGTCCCGACCTTTTCCTTTGGGCCAGCGTTTCATCCCGGGCTGCTCTTTGACGGTCTGGGGGCACGGCAAGGGCCCCCAAAGGGTCCGAAAACGGCCACACACCTCCCGCCCTGATTTTGCCACAACGCGAACATGTCTGGGTCGGGGACTGCTCAAAGGGCCCCTGGCACAAGGTGCCCCCAGCTTTGCGCTGAATTTTTGGGAGCCCCTGGGGCCCTCTTGGCCTCGTGAGGAGCGCTCTGGATGCGGGTGGGGGCCCCCTTTGGAAATCTTGGGGGAACGTTCGCCCAGGCGCTCCCAGATGCCCCGAGATGCCCCCAGGCGGCCCAAGAATCTCTATGAGCGTTCCCTAGATTGGCGCAAGAGGCAAAAACCATTGATATTTCACAGGTTTTCCTGTGTTTTCGAAGGTCTCAACATTTCGAGCCATCGGCGCTTAACAGGCCCCCGAGACCGCCCAGAAACCACGAAACGGCCCAAGAGGGCCCAAAGAGGGCCGTAAGACTGCCCAAGAAAACCCCAAGACGGCCCTGGAGGCGTCCAACACGCCCCAAATCAGCTCCGAGACGGCCTAAAGAGGGCCCCAAATTCCATACAATTTAATACAAATCACTTCTTCGTCAAGGACGGCGGTGTGTTACATGTGTTATCAATTGTTAGTTTTGGAGCCTTGCTGGGAGCTCCCTTGGCGCCCCTTTGGGCCGTCCCAGGCTATCCTCAACAGCTCTCGTGGGGGCCTGTGGGAGTTTCAGGAGAGCCCCAGGAGGTTTGCGGAGGCCTTGGAGGCCCGACAGATCTCCAGAGTCCGGAGACCCCAAAAAAGCAAAACACGCCCCAGAACGTGCAATCGTCCATTCACGTCCACAGACGACGACGACGACGACCACCACCACCACCACCACGACCACTACGACGACCACCGCGACGATCATCGCGACGGCGGCGGCGGCGGCGGCGGCTGCGGCGGCGGCCCCCCCGGGGGCGGCGGCGGTGGCGACGGCCTGGCGGCCCAGAGCTTCTGGGGCCCTCTTCGGCCACCGTGGCAGTCACGGAATTTGCGCAGTTTGGGAAATATTCTGGACTGTCCGACGCGTCGCACGTCGATCATCGCACGGCTCCGCGACCGCCCACCGAGCCCTAAGCCCCCCCAGAAGGCCCAGCACCTCCACGCAAGGGCGGCCCTTGCCTGGGGAACCTCTCCCTGGATACTTGTGGGTTTTGTGGATCGGCGCAAGGTTTATTGGCAACTGCGCGGTTCTAGTGTGTATCTTTATACACATGTAAATAAAATGGAGAGCGGGGCTCGGTGGTTCCGAGAAGCCTTGGTTTGAGTACCCGGCTTCTGGCTCCTTCCTTGGGCGGCTCTTGGCCCTCATGGGGACGCGCGGCAGGCTTTCACATTGCTCCCAGGCGGCTCGAGGTCGCCGAAATGTCGCTCCAAAACGCTCAACATGGCCTCAAGATGGCCCAGGAGGTCCCCAAGACGCCCAACAAGAGGCCCCAAGAGGATTCCCAAGAGGGCCTCAAGAGGCAAATATTGTCTCATTCCTAGTGGAAAACGTATGCGTTTCCCAACCATCATCCTGTGGTGTTGGGCCCTCGTTTTGAAGACACGGTCCCCGCGTTCCTCTCCTCTCCTCTTCCTCCCCCTCCTCCCTCCCTCCCTCTTGGCACACCCTTCACACGCTTCGTGGCCCCATACGGAGCTCCGCCTGAAGTCCCAGTGGCGCAGTCCGCATGTCGGCGCCGCCCGATTTTGGCACACCCCTCACACGCTTAGTGGCCCCATAGGGAGCTCCACCTCAGGTCGCAGTGGCGCAGTCCGCATGGCGCGGTCGCTCCATTTTGGCACACCCCTCACACGTTGTGTGGCCCCATAGGGAGCTCCACCTCGCGTCCTGGTGGCGCAGTCCGCATGGCGGCGCCGCCCGATTTTGACACACCCTCCACACGCTTCGGGGCCCGATCGGGAGCACCACCTGAAGTCCTGGTGGCGCAGTCCGCATGGCGGCGCCGCCCCACCCTGGCACACTCCTCACACGTTGTGTGGCCCCATCGGGAGCTACACCTCGTGTCCTGGTGGCGCAGTCCGCATGGCGGCGCCGCCCCATTTTGGCACCCCCGTAGCGTTCGCTGGGGGTGCCCAGGCCGTCCCGAGCAGCCGCCAGAGGCCGAGGTTAAAGCCTGAAGACCTTCCCCTTCTGGAGCTTATCGGGAGCAGGAAGCCCACCACAACACCTGGGCGGATCCAGGATGAGCTCGTGTGCGAGAGCGCCCGCACTGATATCCACCACCACCATCCCTGACCACCCTCTGCATCCATCCTCAGGTGGTGGTGGTGGTGGTGGTGGTGGTGGTGGTGGTGGTGGTGGTGCGTTCCCTTATCCCTAAATTATGGGGACGAAAGCCACCAGCAGATCTTACATTTAAGACAGGCTTCGCTGTCGATGTCACCGCGGACGTTTTCCAGTTGAGATTGAAGAGGTCGCCCGCTCATCAGCGGCCGCTGTCGGTTTTTGGACGACGTCTGATGGTGAGCATCTTGCCTATTTTCCCAGACCCATCTCGGGCGTCTAAACCTCTCTGCACAAAGACGATCCCGATCTCCAGCCCCCCCCTCGGCAAGGGTGTTCACGGGTCGATCGGCTCGGCTGCGTCGCAGTCGGTTGTGTTCGGTCGGTTCGGTTAGGTCGATTATCGTGCCGTTGCCGTGTCGCGGCGCCCTTCTATAGGCAACTCGCGATCTGTCGATTTCAGTCGGTTTCGGTTCGTCGGTTTGGTCGGTTTTCAGTTTTGTTGTCGCCGTGGATTGCCTTGCTCTGCAGATCACCGCCGCCGCATGGACCAAAAGACCATCGGATGCCTCCGAACACGGCCGAAGTCCGCGGGAGATCGTCAGAAGACCTCCAACGAACACCGAAGTCCGTGAGGCGACCTGCAAAGATCCCTGAAAACCGTCAGAAGACCGCCGAAGACAGCCTCAGCTCCATGGGTAACCCGAGTAAGCAATTAAGAGCCGCCCCCCCTCTTCGGCGAAAGTATAACGCATCGGGCACCCTGGAAGCGTTCCCCTGGCACTTCGTAACCTGCTTTAAATATAGACGAGCTTGCTCGCCGAACACAGACGCAGTCTCGTGTTATGAGTCGTATGCGTATTCTTAGGTTTAGTCTCACCTGTATTCGCATTCGTATCATTATTCGTACCCTTATTCGTATTATTACGCATTGCCGTATTATAATAATGCGGAGCCGTATTATTTTGTTTCTGGTTCGTAGTCTTATGTGTGATATTATTATTATGGGTCAGAATTATTTTCTGCGCGTTCGCGGTGCTAAGATACCGCTCCGTGCGGGACGCGGGCGATATCCTCGGATGCATTGCCCCACACGACGGTCGGGAGACACCAATAATTCAACAGGGTTGGTAATAGGAATCGTACAGGACAACGACGATGAGGATAATGCGAAACATGGAGGAAGGGAGAAAGGAAGCAGAGGAACCCTTCAGTTTTCAATTATCGTTCGTAGTCGTATTCTCATGAGTATTATTATTCTTACTGGTCGCACTCTCATTCGGATTATTCTTCGCATTATGAGTCACATTCGTGTTCTTAGTCGTAGCCTCGCTCTTATTCGGGTTCGCATTCCGATTTGATTCAAATACGTATTGTTAGTATTCTTTGTACTCTTCTTAGTATTCTTTGTCAGTTTCGCTTTACTGTGCTTATCCATAGTAGTTTTGGTCTCACTTGCATTCGCATTATCATACGTATTATTATTGCCGGATGGTGGATGGGGCCAGAATAAGTATTATTCGTGTTTGAAGTAGCATTCGTATTATTATTAGTGTTCGCATTATTTTTCGTAGTATCATTATTGTCACTCGTTCAGTTGTTATTAACAATCGTCTTATTAGTTTTCGTATTCGCATTCGTACTTATATGTTTGTTGTTATTCGTTTTATGACTCACTTATTGTTCATAGTTTCATTGATGTTTCTACTCTTAAGTATTCGCATTATTACTCGAATGTTTCTTATTCCAATTCCAAATGCGCATACCACCCACGCCAGGGCGCGGGAGTTATCTATTGTCCTTCCATTGGCGCGGTGCTAATTATACCGTTCGGCGAGAACCCCCCCGCAATAATTATTTGATTACGGTGCGGTGCCAATGATAACCCCGGGGGGGTCCTTAATGGTTTCCTGAGGTTATAACCAGGTCCCATGGTGGCATACGTAGCGATCCCCAGTCCCCCCCCCACTTGCCCTCTGCCGACCACCGCCGCGGCAAGGCATCCTGAAGCCGTGCGCGACGAGGCGGCGTTGCCTCGTGCACCTTTTTGGGCTAGCCGTCGGCATTCCGAGGGTGTCCTCCGTCCGGCCTTTTGGTGCTCGGCGCCCGCCTTCATGTATCCACGCCCGCCTCCGTGCGAGGACCCCACACCCTCGCGTCGTGAGAGAGTCACGACGCAGGGCTGTTGGCCGTTTTCGGCCTCTGCAGGCCCTCAGCGGGCTCCAGCGCTGTCAAACAGGGACCCAGGATGCCCTGTGTCTGGGGCCGTGCTCGCATCCTTGCCGAGCCACGCTCGGCCAGACGCCGTGGTCATGTCTGCACTGTGGCATCGAAGCACGGCGTGCAATGATGCAGCAAGTACTGCTGGCCCCGTCAGGAGATGACCAATGCCGCCCTCGAGAAGTTCCACGTCACCACTCCAGGGACCGGCGCGACCGGAATCTGCCCAGCCCGCCCTCGCTTTCTTCGATGTCGAGAAGAACAACACAATCGTTTGGAGCTGCGCGCGGACTTCTTGGATCGGTGCTAGACCCCCTTCCCTGGCGCGCGGAGCGCGCCAGGCGCGGCTCCAGACGCGCCGCCAGGGCGGTCTGGCGCCGATCCAGCAAATCCGCGCGGACCTTCAAAAGCGTATGTTTATCTACTTGTAACTTGAATGATGTTTCCGCTTCCTCGCGAGGCGAGGATCTATCCATGCCCACCACCTGGGGGATCGTTCTTCGGGAACCCTGGCAGGCGGTAGATTTGGATGTATCCGGGCCCTGGGGTCAACATATATCCATGTCTACCGCCCGCTGGGGGGGCCAGCATGTCGGTTCACCAGGCGCGTTGGTGTTATCCGCGGTCGAAAACCAGCCTAATCTGGGATAATTTGTTTAATTCCGCTGAATCCCGTTTGATCCGGCTCAATCTTGGGTTTAATTTGGGTGGATTCGGTGTAAATGGTCCATTTGGCCCCCCTTCGGATGCGCACATGCCTCGGGCCATGCTTCGCTAACCCTCTTCCTGGCCCCGATGATCGGCGCCTCCGATTGGGGAGGAGATGTCATATTACTTGAGTCTGGTTCGGAGGTTTGGCGAGGTCATGGGCGCGTCAGGCAGTCAGCCAGCCCTCCTCATTCTTCATGTTGACCAGGCTTCGACCTGATAGCTTGCAGCTTAGGAGGCCTTACAATGGAAGAGCAGCGGCCGCGTGGCAAGACAGGGGGACCTGGACGACAGGGAGAGAATGGGCGAAGTGGCCTCCTGCTCTCCCCCCTGCCTCCTCCCTCTCTAACCTGAACGGAACGCGGATTCTCACGAGGCCGTCCCGCGAACGTCTTTGTCTCCGTTGCCCCTAGGGGCATTCGACGTGATTCATGTCGAAAGGTTGCTTGCATGTTTGATGCGGCTTCAGCTTGAGACGCTAGAAGCCTGAAAACGGTTTAAAATCGCACGGTGTCTGATTCATTCTCAGTTGCGCTGTTCTTCATGTGCCACCTGGCCCGTACCTGCGACGCTGGCCTGGCCTTGTCGGTGGGTTCGGGTGAACGCGTTCTCAAGTATGTGGGTCGATGCTTGGCAGGGTTGCGCGGGTGGGCCAGTTCGGTCAGATGTCTCTCGGAGATCTTGCTCCTCAGCTCGTGGCACTTTCAGGCCAGCCATCGCTCCCTCCTCGCTGCCCCCCTCTCCCTCCCTCTCCGTCGTCTCTTGTCCCTCCCTCCGGTTTGGGGGGCGATGGCAGACCCACCCCCGATCGCGCCATCCCTTTTCCGATCGCCTCATCCCCTCCCCCCCAGCCCCCTCGCGCTCCTCCCATTTCGCGTCATCCCCATCCCTCTGTGCACCCCGTTCTGACGCCCACTTGTGCGCCAGAGTAGCGAGAGCACCTGCCCCTTGTCACCCCCTCCCCCATAGCAACTGGTGCACTATTTCCAAAATCCCCCGTGCTGGGACCAGTTCGAGATTCGGCGCGGCGTTCGAGTTGCCCCTCTTCTGATTGCCCTGCCCAAGTCTCGCGTTGAATATTTTTTTTTTCCGAGCGTGACAAGTGGGCCATCGCGCCACGGGATGCCTCGGGGGCAACGGCGGTCATCGAGAGGGGTTGCGGGTGAGGGTGCGGCAGACCTTCATGGGGATGGGTGTGGCAAACAGCAGATAATCTCTAGGGAGTTGTTTTTGTACACCATGCCTGCCCCGGGAGGGTGAAATCTTACCCCGGTGAAGCGCCCGCGCCCGCCTTGCCTGGGTGGTGAACAGAAGGCATCCCAGAACAGCTGAATTTCGTTGGTTAGGCCTCACAGCGCAAGCCCCTCTGGCGACTCTTGAGATGTTGTGTTTGGGAAGGAGCGTTTTGATATGCAACAAACTGGAGTATCCACACCCCTTGTCATACAGCGACCCCTTGGAGGGAGCACGCCGTGATCGTGCTGCCCGACAATGCCGACCTGGAGAATCCGGCCGCTGCCGACCTGATTGTTTACGCCACGTTCGGGAAGCTCACCGACGATGCATGCGAAGACCTCCTCATTCGCACTGTCACATTTGAGGGAGCCTCCGTCGGAACAAACATCACAAAGCTTGTATTCAACGTGGGGAGCGATAATTTCAACGACACGGCAGCCCATGAATACACGTACACCTTTACTGACAGTGAAGGCAACTCCCAGGAGGTTACCAACACCGATGCCAGGCACCTCTTCGACAACGTCCCGATGTGCTACATGGGCACTCCACGGGGCGTCATCAGAGAGCCCACGTACAGGACCTACATGCACCGCCAGAGGATCATGCAGGCGGAGTGCAGCCTGAACAGCCTGAGCCGCGGCCACGACATCAAGGTGTACTGGAGCACGGTGTGGCGTGGGTTCAACAGCACCACCAACTCGTCCATCTTCGCCAACGACCTCTCCTTCAGCATCGGGAACGTGGCGAACGCCGGGGGCATCCTCGGCTCGGACGACCACTCGGCGATCTCCGCGGCGATCCCCGGGTGCAACAAGAAGCAGCCGGTCCTCGGACCCTACCAGACCAGGATCGGCGGCGCGCCCAGGGCCCCAGGGGGGACGGCAGAGGGGGCGGGCTTGCTCCGAAGGTTCGGAAGGCCGGAAGCTTCTCCCGGGACCTCTCCGAAGCCCCCGCCGCCCGAGGAGGCCTGCCCCCTCCCGCTCCCGCCCTCGGCACGCCGCCGGCAGGAAGGGGAAGCCAAAGGGGAAGCCCTGGAAGCGCGCGCACCACTTCCGCTGAGCAGCCCCGAGCGGCCTCCCCCCAAGGCGCCGCCGTCGGGCGGCGGCGCTCGCCTCCGGCTGCGCTCTCGTCGTGTTGGGCGGGCGCGGCCGGGCGGTGTTTTTTTGTCGTCGTGCCTCGGCGCCTCGGGCGCGGCCGCTTGGGCCAAGCCACGGGGCACCGGAGGCCCTCTCGAGACAAAAGAGGGGTCGGGTGCGTGCGGCCCGGGGCTCTGCCAAGGGTTGGGCTTCGGTGGGGGGGAGGGAGGGAGGAGTACTGAGCAGCGGCGCGGAGGTGACCACGAGTCGCACGTGGCGGCTGGGGCCCCAGGGCGTGCCCTTCTGCAGGGGGCGCGGCGCGAGGGCGCGAGCATGCGCAAAGGTAGGCGGCATAGTGTTGAGCCGGGGTTCGCGAAGAATATCGCTGGGAGTCCGTTGGGGGCCCGCTGGCGGCGGCGGGGGAGCTCGTGGGGCCGTATTTGCGATGTCTTGTTGTCTGCCTCGGCCATCCCTCCCTCCGTCTCGCGCGCCGCCCGCCATCGTCTTGAGCGAGCCAGGCCCTGGGTAGAGGGCCGCTCGCGAGGAGGCCCAGGCGAGATTGGGTCGGAGCGACCTCCTCGCCCGATCCCGGCTGGCCTCCTCTTCTCTTTTTCATCTTCCCTCTGCCCTTCCTGGGCAGGGGTGGCTGGTGGCGGACGCGGCTCGCGCCGCCCTGCCTCTCCCCCCGCCGCTTGAGAGAACAGCGAGACGCTTCATCCGACGCTCGACGACGACGACCCTCCCTGACCTTCCAGAGAGCTATTTTTTGGCATTGGAGACCTAAACCCCCCCCCCCCCAAAAAAAACGAGACGAAACAGCCTACAACCAAGACGTATAATAGCTCTGGGATAGGTTTTTAAGTCGCGTGCTATTTTTGTTGCCCTCCTGGAATGTCAGGGCCCTCGTGCGTGCCTCCTGCACGCGGTCCTCTTTCCTCTTCCGCTCCTCCTGCGCCCTGCAGCAGTCTGGCCGGAAACAACTGCAGCTATTGCAGCCCGCTGCTCGAAGGAGAACCACTTGCGTAAGCAGAAGTGCTCGAAGTGTGGCGCTCCAGGATTGCCTGTCGGCCTCCTGGCTCGCTCGCCTCCTCTTTCCTCCTCCTCCTCCTCCTCCTCTTGCCTCCGTCTTCGCAACCCGTTATCCAGCGTCTCTGGGCCGCGTGTGTTTGTGCCAAATCTTGGCTGGAGTGTATGCGGACTTATCTTTTGCTTTGCAGCGGACGCCAGACAAATGCTCGCGCAGATTTCTTGGATCGAAGCTGGGCCACCCCGCCCACCCTGGCGCGCGGCGCACGCGTACCGTCAGGGGGGCGCGCGGCGCACCGATCCAAGAAGTCCGTGCGGGCCTTCGAAAGCTTATGTCTGCGTGTTGTTGTTCTTCTTCTGGCTCCGCGCCCTGCCCCCCCGGCGGACCCCGACGGCTGCACCTGTCGGGGGCAACGGTAGCGGAGGCAGGCTCCGGGGGAGGGAGTTTGGACGGCCCCGGGGCCTGGAGAGGGCCTCAGGAGCCCCGAGACTCCCACAAAAGGGTCCGTCGTGATTTCCTCGCAGCGCGAGGAGGTCTTGGGTCCCTGACGGCTCCATCGGCGCCCCCTCCACGATCGTCGCCCTTCCACTCTGCGCCCGGCATGGCGGCGGCCGCGGTCGTCCTGGCCCCCCAGGCCCCTGCTCTGCGGCCTGACTGCTGCGGCGCGCTCTTCCGCCGCCCGATGTACGAGGCGCCGGACCGCCGCCTGGACGGCAGGCCCTCTGCGTCAAGATCAGAGGCGACGACAGGGGCGAATAGCCCAGGGGGGAGCAATACACGTATCCAGGGGCGCCGATGATCTATGTCTTCGGCGAGGCTCCCGGGCGAATACGTGTAATGCCCGCCAATGCCCGCTCCTGGGCGATTCGCCCTTCTCGTCGCCGCCGGATAGAAGACTCAGCCCTACGACGATGTTGTGTTTCACTCCCAGCGGTTTTTCCTCGATTTCGGCCTCTTGGGCCCGCTGTCGGGCTCCGGGACCATCAAGCATGGGCCTGGGGCGGAGGACTGAGAGGAAGAAACAAAAGCATCAGAGTGAGGGGGCCGAACGGTCATTCACTGTCCCTGGGTGCGTGGCCGAAGTGGAGTTCCGCGGCGCGGATTCTGCTTGACTCTTTGTCTGTTTGTTTGTTTGTTTGCTTGTTGTCGTCGTTCTCGCCCACGACCCGCCCCGTGACCCACTCGCGACCCGCCCGGCGACCCACCCGCGACCTACTTGGCGTTTTTTAACATTGTTTTGCCGAGCAATTCCGCCTGAGGTAAGCTCGTTGTGCAATGCGCCGAAGCATCGGTGTCTGCGGCGGGCTTCAGAGCCTCGCAGACTACCAACGACTCCGCCGCCCCCTCACCCTTCTCCTCAAGCTGCGGGTTGTCACGTAAGCATGAACTTTCGGAGGCCCGTGCGGATCTCTTTTGGGTCTGCGGTGGACCCTCCTGGCGGTGCTTCTGGCGCCGCCCCTGCGCCAATCGCAGAGATCCGTGTGGACCTCCGAAAGGTAATATTCACGCAGTTCTCCGTCCCGCTAGACGCTGGGCCCCTTTCCCAGGGCCAGTCCATCCCCCCAGACCCATTCTCATGACCCCGGCGTGCCGGGAACCAGAGCCCGAACTCTCAGGAAGCCCGCCGGGACTGGACACATGCCCCGACCCTTTCCCTGGGGACAAGTCTTTCGTCCTGGACCCGTTGTCGAATGGCCCCCCTGCAGGCCCGACAGTGGGTCCCAGAGGCCGAAATCGAGGAAAGACCGCCCCCGAATTGTGAACAAGTCACGTCGTCGGACATCTGTCGGTGGCGTGCCCGAGGGGGAAGTGAGAAGGTGCAGGCCTTCTCAGAAGGCGGCGGGACTTTTCAGAATCCCTCCAGCCTTCTTGAGAAGTGCTCCCTGGCTTCGGAGAAGGTCCGGAAAACTTTTCAAAAGGCTGGAGGCCTTCCGAGCCTTCTGAGAAGGTTCGCCCCCTCTTGTTTCTTCTTGGGCGCGCCTTTGCATCTGCGTGAGGCTCTGGGAGTGCGGCGGGTGCTTCACGAGGAATTTCAGAGACTCCGACGCGGTCTGCCGCACCTGCGGCACGAAGTCCGCGGGCTTGCTGGAGCAGGAGCCGGCGGCTCAAAGACGGGCCCTGAGGACATGATGGACGCCTGAAACGGGCACGGAAAAATAGGTACGATGCCTAACAACAAATGTTGTTTAAAACCGACAGCGGCGGCTGTTGGGCAGGCGGCCCTCAGTCTCAAATGGGCAATGTCCGCGGTGGTACCGACACCGATTCTGGATCAAAATTGGCAGGAATTGTCGTTGGTTTCGTACCCATTTCGATCCCCCCGAAGGAGGGAGTCCCAGGTTGAATTGCCGAAGCACCCAGCGATTGCGGATAAGAGGTACGGGGCGGGCGCGTGTTGGGGGCGCGGGGGGGTCGCGGAGGGGACGACAACAGCAACAAATATGTTTGATGTTGTACGCGGCGCAGTTTTTGCGACTGCCGAGCAACCTGTCCCGCAAAGAAGCCGCCGATCTAGACGGCATCTTCAATTCCTCTTTCTGCCCCCTCTCTAGAAGTGCCTGGCGCGACTTCGGCGAATGGGGGGGGCCGAAGACATCAATGTGCAGTCGCACCGAGATATAGGATCGAGGTCGGCTCGGGGAGGGTACCCTAGTGTTCTTCGTGGTTGTTGGATGTTCGTGTGCATCCTGGGGAGGGTAGCCTTGGATGTTCTGTTTGTTTTGGCCGACGGATGGTCCCATGTTCGTGGGGGATGTTCTTCTGGCCCAGGTCAGAGTGTATGCGAGTACTTCCCTGGGGAGATGAGCAGCTTCGACTTGGAGAGGGTGGCCCAGAACGCGCCGCGCTTGCAAGGGATACGCCGAGGTCAAAAGTTTGCGACCTTCAGGCAGAGCAAGGCGACATGCGGGCACATCTGTGATTCGTTCCACGGATTCGAGAACTATTTCCGACACGAGGAATTAATCGGACCATTCGGGGATGTTGCTCAAGAGCGTGAGCATGCGATGATGTCTGGTAATTTCAAGATCCAGCTAGGCGTAGTTGCTCCGTTTACGCGTGTTGTATCTCCCGATGGTTGGTCGGAGCTCCTGACCCATCTTCTCCTTTCTTGTTTTCCCGCCAGAACCGATTCATCGGCTGCTATCCAGTACCGCCTGTCCAGGATGCGCCCAAACGGATGAAGCTGCACAGCGTGTTCAGATGCACCGGGACCTTCTCTTCTTGAATCAGGCCCATTTCCAGCAGAGTGTCAATTGTGCGTGTTTGTTTGGCTGCCCAGAGGCCCCAGATTGCATTATGCACCATCGGGATTGCCCCTGCTGTGTCCATCTTGTTGCTTGTTTGGGTCGTTCCATGGCCCCCGTGGTTAGTTCTCCCTCTCACGTGATACATTCATGTTTCCTTCGGCCGCGCACGAGCTGCACTAAGCAGTGCGACCTCAGGCGCTGCGGACGGGACAAGTCTTGTCCGAGCCCGACGCGCGGGCGTTCCTGCCCGCCCTGCGTTTCTCCCTTCTGGCAGTAGGCGTAGAGAGGAGAAGCCTTGTGTCCGTGTCCGCCTGGAGCACGTCGTCCGGGGAGGGGGATAGGGGGAGGAGGAGGAGGAGGAGGAGGAGGAGGAGGAGGAGGAGGAGGAAGAGGAGGAACCCCGCCCCTCGGGGCCCCATCCCCCAACTCCCGGAGGAGCGCCTCGAGCGCTTGCGGCAGGAGGCCGAAGAGCGGCGCGAGGCCGAGGCGCGCACGGAGCGGGAGAGGACGGAGTCCCTCACCGTCAAGGACCAGGGGCCAGGCTGGGGACGATGGGCTGAGGTCGTTGATTGAGACCGTCCTGGGAACAGCCTGACCCATCTGTTCAGTAGTATAGATCGACCCTGCTTCGACCCAAGTTCGATGCAAGCTTGATTCAAGCTTCGCGTCTCCAGCTCGACTGGCACTGACGGATGTTTGACGTGGCGTCGACGCATGTGTGGAAAAAAGGTGGTTCCAGGAAGATCCCCACCCCAGGAAGCGCATCGGCTCCCAACCTCGGAAAACAACAAATGGCGCAACAATAGGCCTCTGAGGTCGGCGCGGACTTTTCGAATCGTCGCTAGAGCTCACTGGCGGCGCCTCTGGCTCCGCCCTTGGCGCGATCCGCGCGCCAGCAAAGGGGCGCCGATCCAGGAAATCCGCGCAGGCTTCCGCAAGTTATGTTCACGTCGTGTTTTTGTTTTTATCCGACCGAACATTCATCGCCGATGTGGGCCCGATAGGCCCCGCCCCGCCTAGGAGCAGGCGGATTCGCTATCGGGGGCATCTCGCCGATTTATCGGATATGCATTGCCGATTCCAAGTCGATGCTCCTCCCCTCAGCCCTTCCCCCTTTTATCGTTGCCCTGCAGAGGACCTGAAGCACGCCTTCAAGGATCAGAGGCTGGGATTAGTTCATGCCAAGGCCCTGAGCTCTGGTCGGTGCATGTTTGATGCCAGGCACGTTACTTCGTTTCGGGCCCGAAACACTCACACATCGATCTGGCTCGAAATGGCGCAGAAGGGTACACTACAAGGCTCTTGTTGCAATGCAGAGCAACATTGCAAGTTTGTCTCGACGTCGAATATCAGCGGACACCTCTCGCTTTGAGCATTCAATACTGACGTGGTTTGATTCACGCAGTAGCTGATTATGTGTATATGTATGTGTACGACGTTGTAAATGCATATGCTGGTATACGTTTATGATTATGTATACGGACATGCAATACTATACAAGCAGGTGGATACGCACATGCACACACACACATATCTATATATACATATATATATATATGTGCGTGTGTATCCATAACCGTTCTCGGCTCAAATGTAGTTCAGGCGGCAAGCGCGCACTCTGAAGTTGTTTGTGTCCTCCCCACCTATTGTCCCTGCTCCGCCTCTGACGGCTAGGCACGGGTCCTGGCGGGGGCCCGGGATGTTCATGGAGTTGGATCAAAACAGCCAGTTCCTCTGCGTGTACTCTCTCCTGGAACGTGGCCATCATGTACGACAGCAAAGCATTGTCCGACATGTGCCACCACACTCTGGACATCGAGCGTCCTACGTACACAAAGTTGAACATGCTGCTGGCGCAAATCTTCTCCTCGCTGACGGTGTCGCCGCGCTACGTCCCGAACGTGACCATCGCCGAGTTCCAGACCAATTTGTTGCCCGACCCGTGCATCCATTCATTTCATGTTCCCGATCTACGCACGCAGGAATTACGCGGATATGGCGTACCTAGTGCAGCTGTCAGCGGAGGGCATCAACATGTCCGTTGCGGAGCCCGCACCCATGTACGGGAAGTGCGACCCTAGTTACGGCAAGCGCAGGAAGTTTTGCATGATGTACCGCGGGGACATGTAAACGCAGCTGTGGCATCAATACCGAGCGCGCCATTCAATTCGCGGCTTGGTGGCAAAGGACTATTCTGGCTTCTGTTCGACACATCCCCGCGAACCTCTGGCTTCAACTTAGACGCGCCCGCGCAGGTCACAGGGCGCCGCAAATGAGGCGCCGCAGCAGGAGGTTGCCTTTCCTCTCCTCTTCTGCTTATTCTCCCTCCTGTTCCTCTCTCCCTCTCTCGCGGTGTCTGTTCTGCGCATGTTAGACCCGACCCGCGCACGACCTCGGAATACGGCTGACCTTCATAGCTTCACCTTCACATGTCGCGTGCGTCGATCTGTTTCGAGAGCTGAGAGGCTCTGCGGCAGCGTGTTTGGCCAGAGCGAGTCGTAGGAGACTCGGATGGCCTACCTCCTCCGGCCCGTTTTCGGCCCTGCCCTCGGGCTCCCGCGACCATTCCTATACGCCGGATGGCGCGGGACTCAGGCTGGGACGCTTGCGCGTCTGTCGGCTACGAGTCCACCCGCGAGGAGTGGGGACTCTTGGACCGCCAGAAGCGCAGGGGCATCGCACCGTTAATCAGATATCTGGGTGGCACTCTTTTTTTCTCAGCGGGTTGTGCGCACTCGAACTATCGGCGCCAATGATGTGAATGAATGAATGTGTCTATATCCACGCATGTGGTTAACGTATTGTGCTATTCTGCGAAGGGCGCTAACAGATATCTCACCGCCCCCTTCTATAGCCGCTTCGGCGCAGGCGGCGTTTACAGAGGCACCAGCTACTAGCGGGGCAATTCAAGGCCCGACCAGCATTTGCCCGGGACCTTTTCCGCGGCGAGGGCCGTATCAGAGTCTTTGGGGATTCGGCTTTTCGGGGCTTGGCGGAGGCCCCGTAGGATGGCGGCCAAGAAGAAGAAAAATGACAAGGGTGGTTGGGATCATGAGTTGCTGGGCCTGATGATGGAGGCCCGCGCCCTCATGTTGGGGGAGGGGTGGCTCGATTCGGCGCGCTCGCACCTACCCTCCCCAGGAGCTCAGTGACTTGGTCGGACGCGCTGCTCAAAAGGCAGCATGCTGGCGACCAGAATGCGCGGCAGCAGTTCGTGGAAGATACTTGCCAGGAGGGCCGGCTGCTGTTGGCGGAGTGCTACGACGAATCCGGGAAGAAGTTGGGCTACGCCATGCTGCGGGTGTGCTTCACGGAGGACTCCGCGGCCGGTGGTTCCAAGGGCGGGCTCATCGAGTCCGAGTTCGTAGCGGCCACGGACGACAACTGCGAGCTGTGGGCGAGGCAGCACCTCGCACCGCCCAGCAGGGCGGCCTACCATCTCAGCATCTGCGGCAAAAGGGGCGCAGAGAAACACGCCAAGGGCAAAAACCTCATCCACCTGCGGAAGTATAGCATGGTCAACATCGAAGATGCGGTGAAGAGTGACTGGGCCGCGGCACGACATGTGGAAGCGACGCGTAAAGGAGCTCATCAAAAAGCACGCAGCGCCCCGGATTATCAGAGGAGGACAGGGAGAAGCCCCCCCCAAAGCCTGCCGCTCCTCGCAGGCCCAGCCGACGTGAGCAAGAAGACGAAGGCAAGGCCGAGGCAGGATAATATTCGGGCCGGGGCGGCACTGCTGGGCGGCGCGAGCCAGCCGGTGCCCCGCCGCCCTTTGAGGGGGAGGGCGATGCTGCGAGGGCGCCCAAGGCGCGGCGCAGGAAGGCTGCGGGTGGCTGGGCCCTGGAGGATCGAGCCCAGGCCGCGCGTGGAGCAGAGCCTGGGCAGAAATGCGCCAGCGAGAGCGGCGACCTGCAACGCCGCGAACCTGGGATGCGACGCCAGGGGTCGGTCAGAGACCGCCGGCACCTGCAGGCGTCGGCGCGCCGCGCGCCTCCCGCCACGGGGAGGGCGCGTTCGGGCCGGTCGGGCGGCGGTGCCCACGCGCCCACGGAACGGGGTGATCGACGTTGATCGCGACCACGGCGCCGCAAGAGCCACCTCGGCAGGGGCCGTTGAAGCAGCTCGCGTTCGCCGTCGAGTTTTCCAGGGGGCTTCCGCGACCACGCGCCGACCGCCAGGGGCTTTGTCAAGGAGCGCGCAGGTCAGATTTTGCGGCAGGGCCTCGAGGAGATGTCGAAATACTTGGAGGGGCGCGCGGAGGCCCGGGGGAAAGGTGTCAGGCGCGAGTCTTAGCGCATTTGAGAATGCACGTGGCGCAGCGCGTCGAGGGCGAGCGGGCGCCCGGGAGTTTCGCACCCAGGCCGGGGCGATGGGCGCCACGGTCGATGGGCGAGCTCGCGAGAGTGGGGGACATCGCCGCCGGCCCCAGGCGATCGAGTCGGCTCTCTTGCAAGGGGGCGGGGCCAGGCGCGGCATCTGGAGGCGGCTTCCAGCCGCCGCGCGGTCTCAGCGCCGCCCGATATAGAGGGGGTGGCAGCGAATGCCGAACTACGGCGCTAGCAGCGACGCGATGGCGCGCGCCACGGGGGGCCCCCGAGGGCGTCGCACAGGCCCCCCCTCGACGCGCCCACGTCGCAGAGCCCGTCGACGACGGCGGGGGCGTCGACGACGGGGGCCCAGCGGGCTCCAGCTCGCGCTAAGGCCGCAGCGGGCTCCAGCTCGCGCCAAGGCCCCCCCGTCGATCGCCCAGGCCATGGCGGCCGCGGCAAGGGCAAGGGCAAGCGGGCGCGGTGGGCGACGAGGCAGATCAACAGCTGCAAAAGCCGGCAGCCACAGAAGGGGAAGAAAAGAGCGTCGGCGCGAGGCGAACTCCCTCGGAAGCCCATGCCCGGCCCCAGCAACCAGGGACTGGGCGAGGGAGGGGCGGGGCGTGGAAGGGCCGCGGCGATAGCTGGCAGGCGCTGCGAGCATTGTGGCACAGGCAAGCGAACGAGCTCACCCTGCTGCTCATTGGGGCCCCACCCTCGCCGAGATCGCACTTGGCCGCGGGGCCAGCCGGACAAGCGCCGCGGCGTTTGAGTCGCCGTTCGCCAATGTGTGGCGGGAGCTCCTCGATGAGAACGGACGTCCCGCCGCTTCCGTTTTCTCGCGATTGCTTGTCTGAGGTCGAGGCCAGCGACGCTGCCGACGGCGACGCGGCCAGCTGGGCGAAGTCGGCGACGCCTGCCGCTGGAAGGCGAGACCAGGGCAGTGGAGCGCGGCGCGCGGTGCTGGGTGGCCCCGGCAGTCGCGCAGCCGAACATCGCTCGGGGCGTGGCCGTCGACGCGCGGCTGGTGAAGCCGGCGCTGGAGAGCCGGGAGATCACGCAGCGTCATATAGGCGATGCGGCGATGCGATGCCTGCCGGCATTTCGAGATGAACAAAACGGCGGTTAGCGAGGCGCCCCGCAGCCCAGCATGGGACTGGAACGGGAAGCTTGCCGCGAAGCGCGCGTCGTACCAGGGCGAAATTCTGGGTCTCGCGAAGATGCTGACCTTGGAGCAGCTGCCCCCTGGGCTTCCGCCGCCTTGCCAGGGCGACCCCGCGCCGATTGCTGCGCGGCGCCGCGGCGGCCCTGGCGACGACCCTTCGCCGCCGACGTTGCCGGGGAGTGATATCCCAGAGCCCCCGCGGGCCGAGGTTCAGGCGGGCGGCGACGAGCGGGCGGCAATCGCCCGCGAGCGGCGTAGGCGGAAGCTGGAAGAGGCGCGCGAACACCGCATTTTTCGCGTTCGGGGCGAGCCCGCCACCGCGGGCGCAGCGCAGTGGCGGCCAGGAAGCAGGCGCCGATCGGCCTCGACGCGCTGTGGTTGACCATCAACCTGACGCCCGCGAACACGCGCCAGCGGGCCATCTGGGGTGACGTCGAAACCGCGGCGGGGGCCTCGCACTGGATGACCTTTGCCTTCGGCGACGTCGAGATTCCCCTCGCCCCAGGCGACGGCATGTGTTTGCGCCGCCAGAGACGCGGCTGCCACATGTTGCATCGGGCGCGCCGGTGCCGAGATGGGCGCTGGGGGGCATTTGCGCTGCAGCACTACCCATGGGGTGGCTGAGCGCGGCCGGGGCGATGCAGCACGCGCGCCGCGCGCCCCTCCTGGAACGCGCCGGGCTGCCTGGGGGCTCGGAAAGACCGGCCGCGGCCGACCAGTTGCGCCAAGGAGGTTCGGTCGGCCCGGTGCGTCTACGTCGACGACCACGCCGAATTGGAGGCCGCGAGCGCCGGGATGGCGAAGGACCTGGAGGGACAGGACGGAACGATGCAGTGCGCGGCGCTGCGGGCATGCCAGGAGGCAGGCTGGCCCTTTGCCCCAGAGACATTTCTGGAAAGGGCTTCTCAGGCGGACCGCTCGGGGCGGCGCCCAGATGGAGACCAGGGGGGCTTAGGTGCGAGGGCAGAGAGTATCTTCGGAAACCTGAGCTTGGCGCGCTACCTTTGCTCCAGCACGGAGGCGCGCCGCCGCTGGCTGCAGATCTACGCGGGAAAGGAGGCGCGCGCTCAGCATATGAAAAGGCGTTTTCTTTCACGCAGTGCCGGGCACTCTGGGCCACCGCGGCCGCGCCGCGAGGCGCGCGCCCCCTCCCGGCCGAGCTCTGCGATGAGAAGCCCGGCGCCCTTCCGCTCGCGTCGCTCCGCTGGGCCAGCCTCCGCGCGAAGCTCAAGCCGAGGGCGGCGGCTTCGGGCGCTGGCCCGCGCGGGGCAGGCGTGGCAGTTCGACAGGCCTTGCCTCCTGCGGCCTCCGAGCGGCCCGTTCGCCCCGGGGCGCCGTCTTTTTCGCGGCGGCGGGGATCGTGGACGCGCCGCGGCCCTGGTTCTCGCCGAGGGCCGCTAGGCGCCGGGGGGCCCATTTGGCGGGCGTTGGGCTTGAACGAGGTCGTGCATTTATTCGTTGCAGGCGGCGAAGCTCGCGGGGGCGCCGCCTTCTCGGCTGCAAATCGTCTTGGCGGGATAGCTGCCTGATTGCGACGCCTGCGAGAAGAGCGGTCTCGACCAGCTCAGGGCCCACCTCGACGTCGCGAAGGCATTCCGGGAGGTGGCCGCTCAGAAGGGCAAGGGTTTCGTCACGGCGTTTGGATCCTCGCCCTCGGGGGACTGCGCGGTCGCGGAGGTGAGCGAGGTTATGGGGGCGAAGGCCGCGCAGTGGCAGGCAGGCGAGATCTCGCGAGTTGGGCGAGCCAGAATGCATTGGGCGTTGCCGCCTCCGGGGGGGGGGGGGCTTTCGCGGCGAAATTTACGATGAAGGCACCTTCGAGGAGATTTTGAGTTTGGCTTGCAAGGTGGAACGCGCGGATCGACCGTGGAATGCAGGCCGTTTTGACCCCCAGCTCTGGTTGCCTGTTTTGCGCGGCAGCTTCTGTTGTCTGACGCCGCCGCCGGTGAGTCTGGGTTTGGGGTCGCGCCCCCGGGAGGCCCCGAAACGCCGCCGCGCCGACGGGCACGCCCTGCCCCCCATATTTTAAGAGGGGGGGTTCTTGTTCGAGGACCCGGTAGGCCTCGCGGGGGCGGCGCCCGTCGAGGAGCGCGAGGGCTTCATGGGTTGCCCCAGGGATTGCACCGCAAAGATGCTTGGGGGAGAAGCTGCGACTGCAGTGGCGCTGCGCGCCATGCACCTTGGTCCTTTGAGTTCCGCACGCAAACGGAATGCGTGCGTGCGTACATGCGCGCACGCATGTAGACACGCGCGCGCACGCACGTTCCGTTTATATGTCTAGGTGTATACAGCATACGTACAAGATTGTATGTGTGTATACAGCGTATATCGGTACATATACATGTATGTGTGTAAGGGTATGTACATGCATATGCAACTCGTACGTGCTTTGTCGGTGCACGCCGGAGCAATGACTGGGTCACAATGTGGAATGTCATGGGAGCAAAATCGATGAATGTTGGCATGCGGAAGCGTCGTGGGGGTGTTTTCGGGGCCATCGTGGGCCGTTTTGGCGCCTTCATGGGCCGTCCTGGGGCCTTCTTGGGCCGTCTTGGGGAGCTAGGGCCCGGTGGGGCCCCCTTTTGGACTCATCTTGGGTACTTCCGGTGACCTCCCATGGGCCTTTTGGGTCTGTGCTGGGAGCCCTTGGGGGCCCTCTTGGGTCCATTATGGGCTGTTCTGGGGCTCTCGTGGGCGATCCTGGGGCCAGGCTCGACCGTCTTGAAGTTTTCTTGGGGGCCTTTTGGGGCGTCTTGAGGCGACTTCGGGGGCTTTGAAGCCGTCTTGAAAGCTGATGAAATCCGAAAAGGAATATGCTAAAATTGTAAGTTTTACAAAAAGAATGGGACGATTTTTGTGTTTTGAAGACCCCATGGGAAGCTTTTCGGGGTGCCTTGGGGGTATGTTGGGCCGTCCTGAAGCAATTGGAGTCCCTCTTGGAGCGCTCTTGTGCTGTCTGGAGCCTCCCTTGAGCCTTTTCTGATGACCCCTTCTGGTCGCTCTGGATCTGCTGGCAAGGCGTATGTGGAGACCCAGAAAGCCGGGTGACCTTTTCCAAGGACGTCCAAGGGAGCCCGAAAACCCCAGATCCCGGGGATCCAGGTTTGGGGGGGGGTCCCCCCCCCGGGCTTGTCAAAATACAGAAAGAGGAATAGATGATTGCAAGAAAGAAGGAGATGTAATTCGGAAGAGAGCAAAGAAGGACGAAAAAAACCGTTGCGGCTTCTCCACCGTTAAGATGCTCGGGCCGCGTGTCTGCCCCGCAACAAAAATAACAATGAGATCGTTTGGATATTGGTGCTATCGGTACGAACACCAAGAGTTCGAACACTTTCTCGACGCCTACCGGAGAAAAACAAAATCTTTAGGCAGACGTTTGGGACCACCCAGGAAACGATCTCCAAACCATGTTTTGGGGATCTTGGGTTTGTCAGGAGGGGACAGAACACACAGACACAATTTATAGTCGATTCCCCAGAACATATTCGAATCTATGGGAAATGGGGGGATGACAAAACCCAGAACATATAGAGAAAATGCAAGGAATCCTCTCCTTTGTGCGTATTCATTTGTGTGTCTGGGGGCCCCTTCAGTTTGACCGTCGCCCATCTTCGACCGTCAGGGGCCCTCGGGCGCCCCCCCACGGGCTGCCCCGGGCCCTGCACGCGGCTGCCTGGCGCCCCTTCCTGTGGGACTTCCTGGGCGCTGTCCGAAAACAGCACGGGGAAACCTCCCTGCGCGCGTATCTATGGCGCGGAGCCATGTTGGACGTCGCCTCCATTCGACGAGTGAGCCGTGCCGTCTGCCTGGTATTGTACGTGGTGCAAGAGCACGACGCAACCTGAGGGATCCCCAAGGCCGCGCCCGGTACGGCTCCGGCTGAACTTGGTAGCCTTTCGATGGTTCGAGTTGCCCCATGTCTTTGACCCCCATGGTTTCGCAGGGATCTTCCAAACACTGCCGAGATAGACTCCGAGGGGCCCTCCAGACGCCCAGAATATTTCCAATACCGCGAAAGACGGTCCCTTGGCCACGGGCATCCCGAAGCAGCCCACATGCTACCTTCTGGTAGCTGCTCGCGGTTTATCTGCTCAGAGCAGCATGAGTTCTTATGGCTTGCGTATTCCAACGACTCCTGAAGCCTACATCAAAGAGCACGCTCCCAGATGGGGATCCTTGAGGGACGATGTCCGTCCTTATCCGGTCAAGTAAGTTGACTTGGACTGCGCTAGAACCTGAGCGCGCGCGAAGCGCGCGCGTGGTTCTCGAATCTCGATGTCTATATATATATATATACACTTTTAACTATATAATACATATACATATACATATATATGTATATATATATATATATATATATATATATATTGTTTCGGCATCTGGGGGGCACTTGCCAGGCCTAGGCCCGTCAAAAAAATGCCAAGGGCTAAAAACGGGCCTCGGGCAAGGGTGGGTTCTCTCAGGCGCCCCGCACTGAAGAACACGACCTGTCTGGGCGACCCCCTGTCCGGGAGGCCGGTCGTCCCTGGACCCCGGGGAGGCGGCGGGCCCAGACCCGCAGCCGCACGCTCTGTTTGTCGGTCGCAGCGCTTTTCCCTCCTCTCGGCCTCCGTGGGGCCGCTGCGGGCCCCCCGGGAGCAGCAGACGCGGGTCCGGGACGCGAAGTCGCAGAGCTGGCGACACCTGGGGGAGGGGAGCGGAAGCTCTGTGGCCGCGGAGCGAGAACAGACAGTCGGAGGACCGGGGGACACGGACCGATCTGAACCCCAGGGCGGCCGCCACTGGATCCCTGTCCGCCGCCGCCTGGGGTCCCCGGACATCGGTTCCTCTGGCGGGGGATGTGGGCGAATCCCCGCTTCGCAGAGGAGGGCTCAAAACTGAGGCCCTTCCAAGGGGACGCTCTCGACATGCAGCCCAAGCCGCCGAAGAAGAAGATGGAGCGCCACGAGATGATGAGGCTCCTCGAATTTGCAGCGCGCAAGGCCGGGCTCAATCCCGACTGGTCCAGTTGGTGAAGGCGGCTGCTCGCAGCAGGATGTTCGCGGGGTCCTGGGCGGGAAACGTGTCCATACGCGTGGCCTCGCGACCCGGACTCCTCGGCCACGACCCCATGGGCAACCGATTACGCGATGTGGCGCGGATGCGCCGCGCGGAACGCATCCGTCGGCCCATGGGATCGCGCGTAGCGGTGTCTTGACCGCGAGAGCCCAGACCCCCGAGACCCCGACGACATGTTTCATTTACAACGTGGACAAGCGGCGGTCTGGACCCCTTCCTTGGGACCCGTTTTCCATCCTGAGTGTTTGTTTCGCGGTCCTCCAGGGCGCATGGTGAGGGCCCCCAGAGGCCGCACACAGCAGCAAACATGCCCGTCATGTCTTTTCTTTGACGCGGGGGGGGGGGTCTGGGAGCATATGTCGGGATTGGACAGAACCCCCAACAGTGACACGTCGATTAGTGAATTGTCCGTTTTCGGTTTTCGAGAGGGCACCGTGGCCTTTCTTTTCCAGGCTTGCGCCCGCCAGGTTTGGGCCTCAGGTCGTTTTCACTAAACCACGTTTTACTAAAGGGAGGTCTGTCCATTCCCGAATATGGAGGCGTGGAGCATACAGTCGGGGCGCTGAAGAAGGAACCCTTTTCGTTGGGGAGGGGCTCGATGTTCCTTAATTGTTCCACACCTTGCTTAAGGTTTCCCTTCTGTTTTCGATGGGAAGTCAAAGTTTAAATTACGAAAAAAGGGGCCTCGTTCCTTATTTAGGGTTCCTTAGGTCAACGCCTCGACTGTATGGAGGCGTGTGGGCAGACCGTGACCCTCGTAGCCCCAGCCCCTCGCCTCGCTTCCCTGGGCGTGCCCAGGCGGGCGCGCAGGGAGGCGCGGCCCGCGGCCCCCCTGCCCGCACTGTTACGCTTCGCGTGCGGCCGCGACTCCCACGCCGCGCGCGCCGCTGAAGAGGCGGCCGGCCGGCCGGCGGAGGAGGGATCAGGGGTCGACTGCACGTGTCTAGGCCTCCTAGATGGGGTCCGAGTAGGTGGGGTCGGAGGATCGCGTCGATGGGGTCGGAGTAGATGGGGTCCGAGTAGATGGGGTCCGAGTAGATGAGGTCCGAGTAGATGAGGTCCGAGTAGATGGGGTCGACTGCACGCTTTGGACGCTCGAGATGGGCACGGAAAGAATGGGTACGATGCCCAACAGCGGATCCTGTTCATTGTGAACAGGATTCGCTGTCCACGCCGCCGCGGCCTGTGTCCATTCGAGACAGAAGGCCGCCTGCCCAACACAGCGGCCGCTGTTGGTTTGGGACAACATTTGTTGTTGGGCATTGTGCCCATTGTTTCCGTACGCATTTCGGGCGTCCAAACACGCGAGAGTGACCTCTCGCCGGAGGGACCTTTGGTGCGGGCTCATCGGGCTCCCCACGAGCGCCGAGCGCGATGCGATATGAGCGGCCCGCGCCCCTGGGTTCGGCTCCCTCGCGCCCTCAAAGGCTGCGCACCACAGGTCACTCTTACCCAGGGCCCCTTTATTCTCTTGCACAGCTGTGTTCTAGAGCTCGGACCTCCTCATGTTCGTTCGTCGTCTTCCGTGCGTTCGTTCGTCCTTCGTCCTCCCCCCCCCCGCTACAGAAGGAAACTCCTGGAGGAAGGAGGCGAAAGCCTCCTGTGCCTCGCAGCTCCTCGGTGCAAGAGCCAGGGCACGCGTGCCACTTGTTCTGGAGGTAGGAAGAGGGGAATGGTGTAGAGGGGTGTGGTGCTAATTTCATGTATAGGGGATTACGGCGATGCCATTTATCGCAGAAAAGGATCGCCATTTCCACGATTGGCACCATAGCCGCTTTTATGCCACACCCCTTTCCGACCTCCAGCGTTATGTGGGGATCGGCTTCATTGTTTGGTCCTTCATGTCGGTGGCAAGCCCCGGGGGTAGGTGCGAGGAGGGAAACTTGTTCAGAAGGCTCGGAAGTCCACCAGCCCTGTGAGAAGTTTCTCTCGGCCTTCCCGAAGACACCGAAGAGTTCTTAGAATGTGCCAGGGCTTCAGAGAAGTCCCGCACCCTTCTTCTCTGAAAAGGTCTTCTCCCTCTCGCCTCCCCCCCTCACTCGCCGCCGATCACGGGAGGCTCGGAGGGTCCCAAACTCCTTTCGGTTGTGGAGGACGCGTCCAGATTGTGTCGGAGTTGGTCGACATCTGGACGAAATCTGAACGACATCTGGACAAACCTGAGCGAAAGGGTGAAGAAGGGTGATCGAAGTCTGCACGAGTACTGCTTGGCATCACGTTTATGAGAAGGCCGCGGAGGTCAACAGAGGCCCCCATGAAGGCTTACCGCCAAAGCTCAAGTGGGGGATGCGTCGACGCTCAATCGCCCATGCATCGCCGATGGGGGCCCGATACGCCCACCCCGCCCAGAGCATGCGTATTCGCTCTCCCAGGCCTACTGCCAATCTGTCGGCGATGTATGTATCGCCGATTCAAGGTCCATATTTCCCGCCCTCAGCTGGTCCCTCCCACACGTTTTCCCTACAGGGAGATGGATCGGTACGCTTAACAGTGGTAACGGAACAAAGGGAACGACGACCGACAGCAGTTCTTACACAGTTTGAGCAGGAGTCGGTGCTGATATCGCCGCGAGTGTAGTCCGTCTGAGATTGGAATCCGCTTACCCAACAGCGGCCGTTGCGGGTTTTGGACAACGCTTGGCGGTCGGCATCGTGCCATCTGTCCTGTGCCACCAATGCCGCGCGTGCCAGATGGAGGCGCAGGAGTAACTCGCATCGTGAGAGCACCCTTTCTTGCACATCACTCCCCCTTCCTTCCCCCTCGTTCTCCACCTCCCTCCCCACCCCTCCCCCTCGGATGCGTCTCCTGGGAGGTTACAATTCAGTGCCTGCGCTGGCATATCCGTGGTCACAAAGATGCCTAATACGGCGAATACAGCTCACGTCCGAATCATCCCGTTTCACGCGCCTTAGCCGCGGGTTTGATCTTGAGTTTAGTTTTGGTAGCCCCGGTTCAATGGCCCCTCAATCGGGCTTCAGAGACCCGAATCGTTCGCACGAAGACCTCCCAGGAGTTGTTTCTTAATCCCTCCCCGCTCTCTCCCCCTAAGGTGTTCGATCATGCACTGTGACGGCCAGCGTCGCCCAATTACCCACTGCGTGGAGCTCCCCATATGTGCATCTCATGTTTTATGTCATGCAATAGCGAGCGTGTGTTCATGAGCGCTTGACTATAATAGCGCGTCCACATGGGCGACAGGGACGACGAAGACGAGTGAATCCTAATGCGAGTGAGTGAGTATGAGTCAGAATGAGCTTTGAATATGATTGAATATGAGCCTCCCACTCACTCCCCCTCCTCAGCTGCCAGGCCGCGCCCTCCTCAGCCTGTGGTAATGTGCATATGCTTTAGGATAGTTGGCACTGGGATCTGCAAAACGAGCGTTCAGCCACACAAGGCCATATGTGCAATCATGTTGTAGGATAGTGCCACGGCGAGCACTTGTCCATGATAGTTGTTTGCTCCACGAGCGCGTCCATGTGAGCGGCGAGCACACGTGCGCGCATCGCGGCTGCACATCCACCACGTGTACGTATTCATTAACATGCATATGCCCGCGCACCATGTTTTGTCAAGGCAAAGAATTCCTTCGGCGCCGCGTCCGAAGCACCAGGGGGAGTACGAATGACAAGTGCTTCGAACCGCACCTCGCGACCTGCGCCTCAGCTTTAACCGTCCGCGCTTCGCATCGGGCCTAGCTGGCAACGCAAACAGAAGTCGCAGGCACATGACGTGCAAAAGGCAAGTGCTACAAATGGCACCCTCGCGGTTTGCGCCTCGGCTTTGGCCGTCCGCACTTGGCATCGGGCCTAGCTGACAACGCAAAAAAGAAGCCTTCTGCACTTGGCATCGGGGCGAAGGGCCAGAGGCCCGACGCGAATCACTATGTCTGTGACCTCATATCTGCCAGCTGTGCCATGTCGGACTCTTGGTCGGCCCCCTCCGCGATGTCCCGCGCGTCGCCCAGCGCCCCGTTGACGCCGTCGCCTTCGTTCGCAGCCGCGCTGGGTGGAATAAGAACCGTGCCCTTCCAGCACTTGGATATGGTTATCGATCGTCTCGTAAACCGCGCCGTCATCCGGCAATTGAGATACGGCCGCCCCTGTCTCCGTGGGCGACAGGCCCAACTCCGTCGCTGCGAAGGTGCCCAGATCTGCGCAACGTGCTCCGACAGTCGAAGCTCCGCCCACGGAAGCCAGCCATGCCAGAGGGCTGTCGAGAAGGCTCACTCCGTGCGTCCCAGAGGGTACGTGCCGGAGCACGACCCAAGAGAGCAGCACACCTCGATTCCTTCCTCCGTGCGTCCCAGAGGGTACGTGCCAGATCACGACCCAAGGGAGCAGCACGCCTTTATCTCCTTCTTCGCAGCGTGAACACAGGCAAACCGCCTGCGACATCCCCGCAAACTGGCTCCCCACAAACTGGCCGCGCACGGGCCCGTGTCCTACCCCCTGGCGGCTCCCCTAAGGAGTGCTGAAACCACCGCCCCGCTTGACACAACCTCACAATCTGCTCCGACAGCAAAGGATGTTGGGCATGAAAATTATCCAGGCGAAGACCTAACCATTAGCAATTGCTCGTAACGCGTTGTGGGTGCCGCTTTCGGTGGGGCTCCCTATGGGGCCACGAAGCGCTGTCCTGGGTGGGGGAACCGCATGCGAACTTCACCACTGGGGCCTCTGGTGGAGCTCCCAATGGGGCCACGAAGCGCTGCCCTGGGGGGGGAACCGCATGCGAACTGCGACACTGGGGCCTTCGGTGGAGCTCCGTATGGGGCCACGAAGCGCTGCCCTGGGCTGGGGAACCACATGCGAACTGCGACACTGGGGCCTTCGGTGGAGCTCCTTATGGGGCTACGAAGCGCTGCCCTGGGCGGGGGGAACCGCATGCGAACTGCGCCTCTGGACTTTCGGTGGAACTCCCGATGGGGCCACGAAGCGCGGCCCTGAGTACGGGAACCGCATGCGAATTGCGCCACTGGGGCCTTCGGTGGAGCTCCGTATGGGGCCACGAAGCGCTGCCCTGGGTGGGGTGCCCGCGTGCGAACACCCCCACTGGGGCCTTCGGTGGAGCTCCCTATGGGGCCACGAAGCGCTGTCCTGGGTGGGGGATTCGCGTGCGAACACCCCCACTGGGGCCTCCGGTGGGGCTCCGTATGGGGCCACGAAGCGCTGTCCAGGGTGGGATGCCCGCATGCGAACACCCCCACTGGGGCGTTCGGTGGACCTCCCTATGGGGCCACGAAGCGCTGTCCTGGGTGGGGGACCGCATGCGAACTGCGCCACGGGGGCCTTCGGTGGAGCTTCGTATGGGGCCACGAAGCGCTGCCCTGGGTGGGGGAACCGCATGCGAACTGCGACACTGGGGCCTTCGGTGGAGCTCCTTATGGGGCCACGAAACGTTGCCCTGGGTGGGGGGCCCGCGTGCGAACACCCCCCCTGGGGCCTTCGGTGGGGCTCCCTATGGGCCACGAAACGCTGTCCTGGGTGGGGGACCCGCATGCGAACACCCCCACTCGGGCCTTCGGTTGAGCACCCTTATGGGGCCACGAAGCGTTGTCCAGGGTTGGGGACCCGCATGCGAACACCCCCACTGGGGCCTTCGGTGGAGCTCCCGATGGGGCCACGAAACGTTGTCCTGGGAGGGGGACCCGCATGCGAACACCCCCACTGGGGCCTTCGGTGGGGCTCTTTTTGGGGTTACGAAACGCTGCCCTGGGTGGGGGACCCGCGTGCGAACACCCCCACTGGGGCGTTCGGTGGAGCTCCCTATGGGGCCACGAAACGATGTCCTGGGTGGGGGGACCGCATGCGAACTGCGCCACGGGGGTC